AGATGGTCTTTAAGGTCCCTTCCAACCCAAACCATTCTATGATTCTATGCTTCTGTGAGGAAATGGCTGGCTGGTAGACAAGGGGGGAGCGGTGGGTGTTATCTACAAGTCGCTGTCTTCAGGAAGGCGTTTGCTGTTTTCTCCTGCAAGATCCTCAGGGAGAAGCTAACTGAGCGCGGGCTGGTTGAGCATCCTTGGCATTCTCAGAAGCAGCCTGGACTTGGGTGGCCCTGCTTGAGCAGGGGGCTTGGGCAAGATGGCCTTCAGAGGTCCCCTCCCACCTCAACCCTTCTGTGATTTTTGTGGGAGTGGGTGCCACAGCCTCCGTGTTAAGCAGTGGGCAGTTAGTCTCTAGCACCTTGCGTTGCCTTGCTGCTGCAGCTGCTGCATGAGACATTCCTCTCACGTAGGAATGTCTGCAGTCATTGCTGTGGTGCTTTTTAGACTTTAGGAGCAGCTACATGTCCAAAAATCCAGAATGAAGCTTAACCTGTCCCTTGGTTGTGGAAACTCCACGTGCTGTTTCTGTATAGGTACGTTCTAGCTCGGTGTGAACAAAGTAACGCTGGTAATTGAGCAAGTATCATTAACAGGAGAAAAAAATTCCCTCCAGTTAAATCTAGGAAGAGAAATGACCTGTTGCTTTACTCAGCTGCACTAGCTACATTTAGTTTTTATATGGATTTATGTCACCAGTGATGGAATGCTGCTGGGGTAAAGAAAGCCTGTACGTGTGCAGAGTGTACACATAAACGTGCTAATGGTGCTACAGCAGAAAAAAAGCCAAACAGTCCACAGTTGAGGGTAACGTCATCCTGTGAAGCAGTGAAAGGCGTTGAAGCAGTCACTGGCTTAGTCACAGGGGCACGACAGCTGAATGTACACCTTACCTTGCAGGGTAAGCCAGCAGATGTCTTAAACGTAGCAAACGCGGACGTGTAAAGGCAGTTTGGAGGGTGATGTAGAAGGTAATGAATTTACTGCACTTGACCTTAGTGAGATCTTGAAATCTACTTTGTCCTGTATTTTAATAATCTATTTTGTCTTCTGTTTTAAAAATCCATGTTCGCAGATGAACACGTGCTGCCCACCTGAGAGCAAACAGTCCTTCTAGTTCAGTGTGTGACTTCTAGCTTACTCTCTTCTGAAGTGTAACAGTTTGTCAGATTCACTGGAAAGATAGGTTCACTCCTGCCTGGTTGAAATAGCCAGTAACTAGCTCTTTTAGAGGGTTATTCCTGAAATCCCACAAAGCCTGCAGAGCATACAGAAGTGACTGGTACGTGGGCAGGGTTAAACATGGGAAAATAGTATGTGTTTTGCATGAGGAGTGTACAGACTCTTTCCAGGAGTTGTTTTGGAAGACCAGTGTATGGCTCTCATATGTGGCCTTTCATCAGTTTCAAAAATAAGGGAATTCAGCTTTGAAGGTGAGATTTCCTTCAAGAAAAAACAGAGGAACAGGTACTTACACACCTGTAAAGTGAAATACTTAAAACTACGGATACTTTCAAAGCTTCAGGGGATCAGAAAGTTTCACACTGTTTGGCCAATTCCTGCGCTGCTTACCCAAGATCCCTTAAACTGAAGTTTTGGGTACCGGTATTCTTGTGTACTGTGACCCAAAAGCTGGTTCTGGTGCGCTAACTGGAAAATAGCTTTGTGCTCTGACTCTTTGCTGATCCAAACTTTCTTTTCTCTTTAAAGGTCAGTCGTATGAAATACGGATGCTAGATAATCGGAAGGCTGGAGACATCCCAGAGATCAATGGAAAACTGGTGAAGGTGAATGAAGTTCTCTAGACGGCGTGGCTAACAGAGCGCTCTGCTGGTTGTGTGTGACAAGAGCAGTTCTTAACCTCTTCCTGTGCCCTGTCCGATCCACGGCCCGGGCGGCCCAGCTGATCTGACCATTAAGGAGAATAGGCACAGTGGAACCTAATGCCTAGTTTTACTACAGGTCAAAGGAATATACACACATGCATTTCCTCATTTTATGAATGGGGTCATTTCATGTACCTTTAGGTAGCTAAAGGTGAGCTAAGCACTTCATGTACCCTTCATGAGGTCTGCAGTCTGCTCTGTTAGGAGATGAATCTCCATTAAGTGTCTTTCTACTGAGTAAAAAGAAGCTGTGGTAACAGTGATCTCAGATTTAGGTCTATGAAGTGAGGTGAGAGAAATCCAATCTGGACACTCCAGGACTTCCAGTACCTGAAGGGGCGACAGGGAAGCGGGGGGGGCCTTTTTACAAGGGCCTGTAGTGACAGGACAAGGGGTAACGGGTACAAATTGAAAGTGGGGAGGTTTAGATTGGATATCAGGAAGAAGTTCTTCCCGCAGAGGGTGATGAGGCACTGGCACAGGTTGCCCAGAGAAGCTGTGGATGCCCCATCCCTGGAAGTGTTCAAGGCCAGGCGGGATGAGGCTTGGAGCAACCTGGTCTGGTGGAAGGTGTCCCTGCCCATGGCAGGGGGGTTGGAACTAGATGGTCTTTAAGGTCTCTTCCAACCCAAACCATTCTGTGATTCTATGACTCTACATTTTACAGATTTTTTTTTTTCCCCTGCTGTCACTAGATACTTGCTCAGAATGAGTGTGGACCAGGGATATTTAAGACAAATGTATGAGAATGAATGCCCACTGCGTGGAGTACCTATGTGTACTGAAGACCAAATTACTTTGTGCAAAGCTTAAGATACCTAGTTGTCCATATATTTGTACTCAGCATCATCTGAGCCATTTCATTCTCCGTATCAAGTGGTGCGGAGAAGCGGAAGGAAGCTAGAGGATCACTTAGAAAGTAGCGGAGGTATTATGAGCCTGTTTCTTAAAAGATGTATGGGAGACGCACGGAGCCAACCTGTGGTTTTTGCAACGGTGGGAGGTACCGGTAAGAAAAACACATCTCTAATTTTGCTGCTCATTGAGCAGTTTGTTCCACAGCTGAGCTCCTTATCCTAGTTCCAGATTTGTCTCCTTGTGCTTTAATGTTACCAGAAGGTACTGTGGGCCTGAGGTATTGCATGAGGTATAGGAATGAAGCAGACTGAAAAATGCCCAATTCACGGTACAAAGTATCAAAAGAATTGGTGAAGGTCAGAGGTTTGGACTTTTCTTACGAGTATCTAACGTTTTTTATCAAACTCTGAAAAATCTTCGGGTATTGGGAAAGAACAATTAAAGTCACTTTGGTGGTGGTACTGATACGTGCACCACAGCAGGGTGTCTGTGGAAGGCTGGGTCTTTACCTGTCAGCCTCGGGCTGTGTAGTTTGTGACCTCTGACTGGCTTGTGTGGTCCTGTGCCTTGTTCTTACTTGTCTGTGGGATGCTTGTTCGGAGATACCTTCGGAAAGCGTTCAGCACAGGCATAAAACAGGGATTTGCGAGTTCTGCAATTAAACCTTTTACAGCCTGGCATGTGGGCTTGCTGTAATAGGCATGTTTGGGGGGTCTCTCTGCCTTACAGGCTCTTACATTGGTGATGAGCCGTTTGGTTGACAGAAGGGGACAAAACAGTGTAAAAGTTTAGAAAAGTAGATTTTGTCACAGCCAGGTACAGCAATGCTGCATCAGCAAACTTCCCATTTTGGGCACTTTGATACTGGCATCCCAGTACTTCAGCAAAGGCGGCGTTTCCTGTTGGTGAAGGTGGCTGCAGAGGTTTCCACGTTCCAAACTGCAGAACTCTTGCATGTCCCTGTGTGCACACACGCACGTGCTGCTTCTTATCTTTGAAATAAAACCAAGGAAATGCAATTTATCTCAAAGAGACCCTTGGTTCGGGGGGGGTTTGGGCACTTTTACCCACTGTTTATACAAGTGAGACTGTAGACTAACAGCAAAAAGCGAGGCAGATCTGCCCGTTTGTTTGCCGAGTAGCAATTACTGCGTACAGCCCTCCTCCCCCCTGTACAGCTGATTGCTTGGGACGTGCCCTCCTGCAGCAGAACAGAAACGTTGCTTTGGTGTGATTAACCACACAGCTGTAGCAGAACTGGTCACAAAAAAGGGTATCGTTGGATACTTGCTTCTGGCTGAACCAAGTTAATGGAATCGTGGTATTTTTAGATTAATATTTCAGGTGGGGTAGTTGGGATACTCGGGAAGTTACTACTTTCAGTAAAATACTAGGTGTGTTGTAAACACGTTCATGAATGCGGGGAAGGGAACTGTCTATTCATTTTCTTTCTTAGAACTCTGTACAAAAAATTCACAGAATTCCCAGTGAAAAAGGTCAGACTCTATTCAGCGCTTTGCAGCATAAGTGGAGTCTTTTGTGTTTGTTTTCTAACACGAGCTGGTGTTGCCCACACAGCGCCGATACCGTGCTGTCCGTGCTGCTCGCTTCCCGGCGCGTAGCTCGTGCTGGCCTTCAGCATATGCAGCCACACGTCGTTCTCTTTTGCATTTTTACCACGTTTTCAAATATCTCCTGCTGCTCGGGTCTATTTCTGCCTTCTGGAATATGGTGGGATACTGGTGGTTGCCAAATTTTTTTGCCGTAAATACGTCTTTATCAGCACTGTGGCTACTTTGGAAGGTTTTAATGCTTTATCTTCAGGCTGTTTCTAAACATACAGTAACTTTGTGGCTCATCAGGTGCTTGTTTTCTTCTTTGTTAGAGCATTATAAGAGTTGTGTTCCATGACAGAAGGTTGCAGTACACAGAGCACCAGCAGCTAGAAGGTTGGAAGTGGAACCGCCCCGGGGACAGACTTCTCGACTTAGGTATAACTGTTTCTGTCTGTTGTCACTGCGCGAAATTCACTTCCCAAGTTTGAATCGATCCTGGTCAGACCTGTGCTAGGGCCGGTGAAAAAACACAGGCCGGTTTTCTGTGTGCTGCTTTGTGGTAGCCTGTGTTTTGAATGTAAATGTTCTTAACGCCCTCCCCTTCCTGTAAGGGGTTCGGAAGTAAGGTAGCAGCTCCGCAACCTTACGCGTTTGGTATTTCTCATTTTGATTACCGAGTGTTACAGAAAGGAGGAGAACACAGCCCAAAGTAACTTCAGTATATTGCAGAAAAGACACTGACATGGTTTCTTTATTTTGCGTAACTTGATGATAATTTTGGTTGCGTGTACTGTGGGTGGGTGGTGGGAGCAGGGGAGTGAAAACACACCCCCAGACCCTGGGCGCATTGTACGTTGGGTCTGCCAAGTTTCTTCGGGTTGGTCCCGAGAAACTGTTCCTGGGCTTAATGGTCAAGCTACCACAGCCTGCCTTGTTTCACCCAACCCGTGTTTGCTGATGGTAACCTTGTATTAAAATGTATTTCTGGTGTTTTCTTGGAATGTGGTTATTCTAAAATGCATGCTGCTTATTTTAATGTAGATATTCCAATGTCTGTTGGAGTCATTGATATCAAGACAAATCCAAGCCAGCTCAATGCAGTTGAATTTTTGTGGGATCCAACAAAATGTACATCTGCTTTTATTCAGGTTTGAAACTTTACTTGACTGGATGTTTGTGTTTGGTGCCTTTCAGGTTATTATGAATTATTTAAAAAATCATTTAAAAATTAAAAATAATGTGAATGAAGGGTTTTCAGAAGCCTCCTTGGGGCAGGCTGCCATGGCTGTGGGTAGATGCGGTTACACGGAGTCCTACAACGGACTGGTGGCTACAGAGAGTTCTGAATCAAAGATGTTTCTTGCTGTGTCAGGAGGCTTCCTCATAGGAGGATTTTTGTTATTTATGTATTTGATATTCAGGGCAACTGAACTTGCTTTCCTCCGGAAATTGTTTACACAGAATGTTCAGTTTTGGATTGGAACTTTTAGCTCACTTTTATCCCAGATGTGTTTTTATTAGGGAGAAAGGGTATAAAGTTCGAGGTAGCAGCGTTTCTTACTGAGGCTGCCCAAAGAGGTTAAATCCCACACTGGCAGTAAATTAACTTTGTTCTGGTGCAGCCGACGAGCTTTTTCCTCGTCAGAATTACACAATACTAAAACGTAGTCTCCTGGAGGAACTGTGAGATAAACCGCTGAATGTTTTTGTCTATGCCCTTCCTTCGAAGTGATGACAGAGTGAGAAAAAAGGGAGCTGGCTGTTACTGTGCCCGTGCAGCTGGCTTGTTCGAAGGGCTAGGGAACGCGGGGTAGCGGCACCCCTTACGCTTAAAACTTCCGTTTTCAGGCAGTGGTTCGCTCTTGTTGCTGGCCACAGGAAACAGAAATAGAGCGCGGTGGTTGCCGAGAGCGCAGGGTATGCTTGTGTCCGCAGTGCTTGGCTCCCTTAAAATTCCACAAGAAATCAAAAAGAAGGGAGCGCTGTCCAGTGAGGTGGTTCATAAGTCCTTCTGTTACGCTGGCTTTCTCTTTAGATATCTTTTAGGGGCATCTCTAGCTCACAAACCCAGCCTTCAGGCTGACTTGAGGCAATTACAGACTGGTTAAAAAGTCTGCTGCAGGAGGTGGGGCGTATTTGAAAATACCCTGATGTCACATAAGATGAAAAACTCTTCAGCCCGTGACCTTCTGTAGCTTTGGTGAGACGTACTGCAAGTAACCCTGAAGCCAATTCTAGCTGTAATGCACTGGAAAATCCCATCTTGAGAAGGTTTCTGCTGTATTCACGACAGATACAGTTGTCATCCATGTACATTTTTCTTAAGATGCAGCAGGTTCTCATTTAATAAAAATCTCTAATAACTTCTGCTTTTTGGAAAGATTTTGGTGGCACACTAGATGGTTTCCCTTCTTCCCTGTCAGCTCAAGTATAGTGTTTTGGGCTTCATTTGTCTGCGGACATGAGAAGGAGCGAAACATTAGTTAGGTAGCTCTCGGTCCTCAGATAAGCTGGGTAATTTGTTAGTTGTCCTTAGAAAAATGCGTGTGGTGCTGGTAACTCAGTAAAATTCATGTCTGGAGTACTTCTGAGGGTCCTTTCTGTCTGGTGGTTGTTTTTTTTCAGGTACACTGTATCAGCACTGAATTTACCCCTCGTAAACACGGAGGAGAGAAAGGAGTTCCATTTAGGATTCAGGTTGATACTTTTAAACAGACTGAGAACGGAGATTACACAGATCATCTGCATTCAGCCAGCTGTCAAATCAAAGTTTTTAAGGTAACAGTAGAAAACAGATCCTTACTAAGTCTCTCAGAAGCTCTCATAAAGATGGGGGACATCTTTATATCACTGTTTGACTTCTGAGATCAGATTTTAATTACAAAACCATTTCCCAGTTGCTTTCTTGTTCATGTAACTGTTCATTTTTAGCCAAAAGGAGCAGACAGGAAACAGAAAACAGACAGAGAAAAGATGGAAAAGCGAACTGCACATGAAAAAGAAAAGTATCAGCCTTCATATGACACCACGGTTCTTACAGAGGTAACAAAATGGAATTGCATCTGCTGACTGAGGAGCAAACGCACAGATACAGCGTGACACCCAGCTGCAGGCCGGGCAGGGTTGGGGGGCACTCACTTCTACAGGAAGACAAGCTTTTTGGTTGGTGAACTCATCCAGCGAGCAGCAGCGTAAAACCGTAAGATCTTGTTCAGCAAACTCGCGTTCAGGCACCCCAAGACTGACCGCTCTTTGTCGGACTGTGCTGAACCCGAGAGCGAGGCTTTGGTGCGGATCCCAAAACCTTGCAGCTGAAAACCAAAAAAAAAAAAAAACCCAACCAAAAAGAGGGGGGAATCTAGAATTTAATCATCTGCCGAATTTGAGATTCTAGGTGTATTCTTTGGAGATTACGGAATTTAGGGCCGGAGCCTCAGTAGGGTTTTGCATTTTCGTTTTATTTGAAAACAGCAGTGAGTTCAATGCAGATTATTTCTAAAGATTTCAGAAGTTTTTAAAAGGCTTTTAGATCTTTCCTCACTGTATAATGAAAAGAAATTGATCCAAATCTTTGGTGTTTGTCCAGATGAGGCTTGAGCCTATAATTGAAGATGCAGTTGAACATGAGCAGAAAAAGTCCAGCAAGCGGACTTTGCCAGCAGACTACGGTGATTCTCTGGCAAAGCGAGGCAGTGTAAGGGACTTCTGCTTACCTTTTCATTGTGCAAGATACCTTGTGCAGTGTTAGATATAGGAGAAACTTCCATTATATAACGTCAAAATACTTTGATTGCCCTGTCTTAATTTTATTCACCTTGACGTATACCAATTCCTCCATGTTTGTTTTCGGCAAAGGAATACTTCCTAAATCTAACACTTGAACTGTTGCAGAGGGACTGTGTGTAACTTGTAAAGGTCAAGAGCTTTCCGTTATGTGACTTTAAATGAAACAGCTTTTTGCTTCCCTGTGTGTGTGCGATGAGCGGAACGAGCGTGAAACCTTGCGGCCTGTTCCGTACCTGTGCTCGCGCTTGGCATTAAGCTCCGGTGTGCATCGGGTTTCAAAACGCCGCGTTGGGTTGTCGGTCGCCGATTTTCCCTTCAGCCCTCTCCGCCCTCTGCTCTGAGCAGGTTTCGTGCCGTCAGGCAGAGGCAGCGCAGCTCTGTGACGCGCGTACGCTAACCCTCTACGTGTCCCCCCAACCCCAAACGAACCTGGCGCGTGCCCTGCGCGCCCTTCCTGCCACGGCGTAGCACTTCGGGTTTCCTACGTGCTGTTTCTTCAGGCGGGTGTCACAGACCGTGCCGTTTTCAGAGGAGACGCAAACCCGTTAGCTGTCCCGTCAGTTAATAATGTGCCCGTGGATGACGGTTCCTTGCGCGGGGGCGCTGGGCTGACAGCTCCTTCCCAGCAGCGCGTGGGCAGTGGCTCTCTGACCCTTGTCCCTCAGGTGTCAGTTTGTATTTCTAGCCTGTGAAAGTGATGTGCACGGCTGAGGTGACAGAATACTTCAGGGTGTGCCTCCTGTTGTCTGTGAACCATGAAACGGGGGGGTGGAAACAACCAATATCAAGTCAGACGGACTTTGTTCCCCCCCTGAAACTATTAGAAGCACTGAGCTGTCTGAATTGACCTTCCACTCTTCTTTGCTTTTGATTATTTTCCCCCTTTCCTTTAAGGTGCAGCCTTAGCACTCTTCGGGAATGCAGACATTCCTTTGTTTGTTCCAAGTGGCCCTGGGGGTGAGGTACAGACCGGAGAAAACAGGACTGCAGCACTTTCACTTACAAAGCGCTGAAGCATCTTTTGAAGCTGGTGCTTGCCGAGATTTCTACTCCCCTTCCCCTCCCCCAACTCTCTGTTGATATAAGTACTTCGTTGAATGATTATTGCTTATAGGAAGGATCATAGAAAAAGGTGTTTTTCAAAGGTAGGACAAATCCCTTGCCCAGAGTAGGGCAAACTCTAGCCAAATGATACCTGAAAGTTGTCTAACCTCCTCTTAGTCTCTTGAAATACTGACACTCTGCGAACCTTAATGGTAATGGAGCACCTCTCCTGTGATGAAAGGCTGCAAGAATTGGGCTTGTTCAGCCTGGAGAAGAGGAGGCTCCGAGGAGACCTCATTGCAGCTTTCCAGTATCTGAAGGGGCTACAAGGAAGCTGGGAGAGGACTTTTTACAAGGGCCTGTAGTGACAGGACAAGGGGTAATGGGTACAAATTGAAAACAGGGAGGTTTAGATTAGATATCAGGAAGAAATTCTTCCCGGAGAGGGTGGGGAGGCACTGGCACAGGTTGCCCAGAGAAGCTGTGGATGCCCCATCCCTGGAAGTGTCCAAGGCCAGGCTGGATGAGGCTTGGAGCAACCTGGTCTAGTGGAAGGTGTCCCTGCCCATGGCAGGGGGGTTGGAACTACATGGGCTTTAAGGTCCCTTCCAACCCAAACCATTCTGTGATTCTATGAAGAAACACTGAGGTCAGACAGGGGAGTACTGGCCTCCGAGTGCCTTTCCCAGAGGACACCAAGGAAAGCCTGCGTGTTTATTTCTTCACTTCGTGTGTGCGAGGAAGGACAACCCACAGACTGGTTTGGAATAACAGCTACCTACAGCTTTCTAGTTGTCTTTCTTGTGCAGCTGACTGTTCCTGTTTCACATCGGTCCTTAAGAACAGTCTCTCTTGAGACCGTTTGGTCAGTCCGTTGAGACCCTTCTGCATGTTAGTGCTGTAGGACAAAACGCTTTCAGCCTTGCTAGGCTCCTAGCATCTACAGATTTAACACGGAACCCATTGCATTGTGACAGTGATTTTTATCGTTAGCAAAATTACGAGAAATCAACCAGCCCATAAAAAATACCACGAAATGCTGCGTTTGCTGTATTCCTGGCGAAGCCTTGGTAATCACTAGACACACTTTAGGTACTGTTTTTAACACTGTGAGTGTACAACTGGTTTGCTTGGTCTAAAAAAGGAATATCTGATTTACAGCTTGAAGGCCAACTCATCACCCTTTTTCTCTTGCCACCAGCCAGGCTTATTCCTGTGGGCCTCGTAAACCTGGTCAGGGGAGCGATGCGTGTTGCTGCTTGAGCCGTTCTGTCCTTGCGAATCCGCCGTCCCAAACGCAGCCATCGGAAGGTCTGGCTGCTGTCCGACTTGGCTCACACGTGCAGCCCGGGTGTACGCGGTGTGCAGTACAGCCGTCGCAAGAGGGGCTTGGACGCAGAAGCTAACGACCTGTTTCCCCACTGTTACGAACTCACACTGTTTTACGTGTTATGTCTTTATAGATCATATTTATAGGACACATATATCTACTTCATGTGTCCTAGGAACAGTGGTTCCGTTACAGGAGGAAATAGGATTGTTTGGAGTGTATTTTCCTTGATGAAGTCGAGAATGCTGGCTGTTACTTAGCCAGTGCTGCTTCCTACATGCCCAGAAATAGTTTTGCTATCTTTTCTTGAATTCCAGAAATTTAGGTCGATCCAGCCTATAGTTCTCTTTAAAGCTGGGTATTGTTACCTTCCTCCTACACCTAACCTATTATATAGGCTGTCTTTTTCTGTTCCTTGCCTTTTGCATCTCATTTTGTGTGTTGGCCTTCTTATTTTGCCTCTCCAAGATTCTGCTGGTTTATTCGCTGGCTGTTTCTGGTTTTGTTGGGTGTCGTTCCCCCCTGCCCCCGTATGATTTCTTTCAGCTCAGCCACAGTCTGATTTGGACAGGTTGCTTTCTTCCCGTGCTTCCTTCCTGAAACACTGAACCTAATCTCTTTTCTTTCCAATGGAATTTGCATGGGATTCTGACACGGTACTGAGACTTAGGTGAAGCTTCCTTTCTGAATGGTCACACTGCTCAGCTCTTCTGTTCTTGCCTGAGAACCAGAGATTTTTTCTAACTGCCATCACCCATCTTTTCTTGCTCATGCATTTTCATGGGAATGCCACCCAGAGATGCGTTTCCCTTACCCCTTTTTATTTATCCGAGGTTTCAAAATTCAGTGCATTCACTGCGATTTCTGCAGTGTTCGTCTCCGTGTTTTCCAGATGGACAGATGTACAGTTAACTCCTTGCCAAGATTCTCCCTCATTGATTTTCTTCTCTAGAGACAAAAGGCTACAAACCTGGACCTCGGGGGGGATGTTTCTGTACAGGTGACCCTCATCCAGGGGCCATTTTATCCTCTGCTCCAAAGGTATAGGAGATAGAGAGCTCATCTAAGGAAGAAAAGAGAAAAACCCCACCAGAAACATTCCCCTGCTTTGAATTTGAAAAAGCAGGCAGATCTGCACTGTGATCGTTGGGTCTTTGCGCCTGTTTTTCTGTCTGCAGCATCTTGGTTCCTTTTTATATTAGTCTGTGTTCTGTTCTAGGTCACGGGCTACAACATGTAAAGCTGCAGTTTGCTTAAACTTGGTCACAGGGTCATTTTTTTTGCTGACAGAGCTGATTATAGGGCGCAGAGAAGCTAGGAGATTTCCCAGTATAGCCTTTGAAATAAACTGGAGCATCACGTTGTGGATGTGAAAGACTGGTGCAGAAGTTAAATGTTTTCTGTGAGTGATTTAAAATTGAGAACGTAAAACCTTCTAGAGGCCGAGAGTCACAGAGCGGAGCTGGAGCAGGACTGATGTAGCAGGATAAGCATGTAGTGTTCCTTGGATTCATTTCTCCTTGCATCCACCTACACCTCCCACAGCAGCACCGGCAGCAGGCAGGGCACGTATCGCGCTCGGCTTCACATCTGGGGAGTAACGTCTTCGCTTCTGCATTCAGAATAACTGAGCCTGCATGAGGCTTTTTGCTTTTGCCAACGCCCCCTGCGGTTGTTTGGGGCGAGAACCCTGTTTTTCATAAGTTCCTTGAAAAAGCTGTGTCCCCCGTACAGTGAAATTGCTGCCCCGCTCAGGAGGATGATGCTTTGGGCCCAAGTGTGGCGAGCCTGATGCGGAGAGCGCGCTGTTCCTTTTCGTCTTGCCTTGGTGTTTGTGTGTGGTGTGGAGCTCTGTGCCAGAGGTCAGGGCTACCCGCTGGTGAGGCGTGAATTTGGGGAGATTCAGGTGGAGTGGAAGTAGGACGTTAAACAGTGGCTTAGGATAACTCGAGCTTTTGCAATTCTTCAGGCGTTAGGGACGCTCTGGGTTTAAACGCTACGAGTCTGAAAAGTCATGCTTGGAAAGGTTTCCCATCTTCCTTTTTAACTCAGTAACGCCATGGGTCAGCACTTCGTGACCTCATTCGTGTCCTGTACAGAGGAATGTTAAAGGTCTGAAGCCAAACTAGTTTTCTTCTTCTCAAGATTTGATCAGGGTTTGGAAATCAAGGCACGATTCCCGCAGCGCAGTTGGATCAGCACCGTTGTGTCGCTGCACAGGTAATGGAAGGCAGTTTGTCTTCAGACCTCAAAACCCACTTATTTCAACATTTACCAGTGTTGCTTATTCAGCGTTACTGCAGGGGAAGATGTAACACTGCCCTTGGTTGTGTTCTGTGACGGCTTTTAAAGAGCTGCCCTGGGACAGAGGGACGTTTTTCTTCCACCTGCAGGCCCGGCGGCCAGGGCCATCGGTACTGGCGCCCTCAGCTTGCTGAATGCCCTGCGGTTTGGGCGTAAGAGCCGGGGAGATAGCCTGGTGGCTCCGAGCGAGCCGTGGAGTGCAGGGCTCTGTCCCTGGACGCTGTCCCGAGACAGGCTGCGGCAGGGAGGCCTTTCCGCTGTCTGCGGCCCGTGCCCCTGTAAACCCCCGGCGTGCAGAATCCTCGTGCAGGATAGTAGAAAGCACGTCCCTGCGCAGGCTGTCCAGCGTTGGTGGGTTTGATGCCCAGGAGTTTGTCTGATCCTGCTCCTGAACCTTTGTGAAGTGAGTGTGGGGCAGCTGTGCACGTCAGTGGTACCGAAAGCATGAGCAGGCTGGGTTCGGTGCTGGAAGACGCTTGAAGAATACATGCCGTAGCCCTTTTTTTGTGGTAGGTTGCTTTGTGCCTTGCGCCCTTCAGAGTGGAGTGTCTCAGTGCTCAGATACTCCAGTACCTGGAGGGGCTACAAGGAAGCTGGGGGGGACTTTTTACAGGGGCCTGTAGTGACAGGACACGGGGTAATGGGTTTAAATTGAAAGTGGGGAGGTTTAGATTGGATATCAGGAAGAAGGTCTTCCCAGAGAGGGTGGTGAGGCACTGGCACAGGTTGCCCAGAGAAGCTGTGGATGCCCCATCCCTGGAAGTGTCCAAGGCCAGGCAGGATGAGGCTTTGAGCAACCTGGTCTAGTGGAAGGTGTCCCTGCCCATGGCAGGGGGGTTGGAACTAGATGGTCTTTAAGGTCCCTTCCAACCCAAACCATTCTGTGATCCTAGGATTCATTTTCTACCCCCCGCAACCCCCGAGACAGGAGGCAGCAGCGCTGAGCCGATGGGCACGTTCCAGCAGCGTTGCAGTTGCTCCTGCTACTTCATTTAGCCCAGTGGGTCAGTCTCAGTGGCAGTTGGTAGCGTTTTTGCTGGAAGAGGAGGCAAGGTGGGAAGGTGTGTTTATGGGAGAAGAAAGGCTGCTGGCTTTGTGGTGGGATTTTCTTTTTCTAAACATTCCAAACGGGCTTCCTCCTGCACTGTGAGCAGCTGGGTTGGGCGGACAGAAGCGTGAGCTGCGGTACGTGCCTTGCTCTGGCAGTGGGGCATTCCCCCTGCCCCGGGATTTAAACGGGTGTAACGGAATCTTGTAAGGGGTTAGTGACTGAGGACGTACAGCCCGCATCCGTGCGTCCACATAAGTATCTCGTGTTACAGCTTAGGGAGAGAACGTCAGAAAATTAGTTAACGCTCTCAAAATAGTTCAGAAGAACAAAGTTGAGCTTTCATTTTAAAATTACAGCTTTGGACCACGCAGTGAGGCCTGTTGTAACTACCTGTTGTAATACAACTTCTGAGAGTACCGCTTCACTTCTCAAGCTGGTTCGGACAACAGGTGGGAACACAGGGAAGGGGAGGAGCGCATGACGCTGGCAGGTGGCGGAGGAGCGTGCTCTGTGCGGATGGCGCCGGCTGTAGTCTGCTTTGACTGTCTGCTGGAAGGCAGCGTGCGCACCGTGGGCAGCAAAAATACGTCCTGAAATCACATCTCAGCTGAAACACGTTCCCACTAGTATCAGATCGTTCTTGTTCCCCTCCCTCCCCCCCGCAGGGCCGTGACGCAGCTCTGGAGATCTCCTTCCGGGGTATCGAGCTGGTGGCGGGGTAAGGGCATCCGACATCTGTGTCGTTAACAGGAGTGGGTTCAGCGCGCTTCGTCCTGGCCAGCTGCTTGGTTTAGTCCTGCCCGTTGGTCATTTTTCTTTCAACCCCTGAAATTGCGGGGCTGTTGGAAACCCTGAGAGCTAGTCTCACGGTGAAGGGCCTTCATCATGGTGCTTTCACAAGTATCCAAGAAAGACATGACTGAACTGCACGGCTGGCTCATAGGATACGTGTGGTGACTTACATTTATTCATGAGAATTCCAGCTTCCCAAGCAGTTCAGAGGAACGTGTCAGCATCACTTTAGTCCTGCAGTGAAGCAGTGAGAGTTATCAATTCACAACAGTTCTCCTGAAAATCCCGTTTGTATTTCGTTGCTGTCAGGGCAGATCGGCTCAGGTCACCCACGAGGCGAGCCGTAGCTTGGTAGTTGTGCTGACTGCGGGCCGACGCCTGCTGCCAGGTCACGAAACCGGTCCTGAACACCCCTTGTGGGATGAAAGGGGGTTTTTCAGCAGGGGGCTCGGGGGTGGGTTGGGCGGGTTGTTTTAAACGGGGTCATCTGCGCCGGTCTTCTGTCAGCTGAGGCCTTTGCGCTGGGAACGGAAGGCAGCGTCAACAGGAGTCGTCTGGCAGCAACAAGATAAAACTGATTGTTACCTGGGGCATCTGCATGCCATGGGTGGGATGGAGGGAATCTTTACCTGGAATTGCGAATGAAAATTCTCTGTGGAACAGACCCTGGCTTTAAGTGACAGAACTGTGCATCTCAGTAAAAACTGTGCTGTCGAGAGAAACTGAAGTTTTGGTTCTTTTTTCTTCAGTGTTCACCCTGGCCTGATACTCCTACAACATTTGTAAACAATAGTCCGACTCCTGCTCCAACTTTTACCTCTGCTCAGCATAACACCTACAGTGTCCCAGACAGGTGGGTTTCCTCTCTGTATCCTACTTAAAGGTAACATTTAAGGGCCTGTAGTGACAGGACAAGGGGTAATGGGTTTAAATTGAAAGTGGGGAGGTTTAGATCGGATATCAGGAAGAAGTTCTCCCCGGAGAGGGTGGTGAGGCACTGGCACAGGTTGCCCAGAGAAGCTGTGGATGCCCCATCCCTGGAAGTGTTCAAGGCCAGGCTGGATGAGGCTTGGAGCAACCTGGTCTAGTGGAAGGTGTCCCTGCCCATGGCAGGGGGGTTGGAACTGGATGATCTTTAAGGTCCCTCCCAACCCAAACCATTCTATGATTCTGTGATTTTAAAATGAGGCTTATTGAAAAGTGTTTTCTGAGCGAATCCAGGAGCTTGCAACTGTTCTTTGGTTCCACCGGGGAATGAGGGATTGTTTTGACCTCTGTATTTCCCATGGAGTTTGACACTCGTGTGTCACGATCTTAAGTTTCACTCTGCGCTGCATTTAATTTGGTAATTAATTGGTAATTAAATACTGATGTTTCGTGTTTTGGGAATTTCAAGTTAATTTTCAGCAATGCTTTAAAATTGTGCCTCATGGAAGTCTAGTAATATTTTTTTTTTTTTCCTCCCGCCCCATCTGCAGCAATTCTTCCTCCCCAAATCATCAAGGAGACGGAACCTCTCAAGGCTCTGGCGATGTGAGTTTCCTTTCTGGTACCGATGGTGGCTGTATTTGTGTCACACCTACACATGCGTTCGGATGAATGGGTGCTGAGGACGGGTTACTGAGGGAGGGCCTTTTAATGGTTTTGGGGTTTTTTTTAATATCCAAATGATCATATCCACTCTTGTTTCTTACAGCAGCTTCATCCTTCAGCCACAATCCAGGAAACTCAGCAGTGGTTGCTCAAGCATAGGTTCTCTACCTATACAAGGCTTTTTTCAAATTTCTCAGGTATCTATCATTTGCTTTTGGAGTCTTTGTGTAAGTTTCGTCGGGAAAAATAATTCTGTGACAACGACATGGCGTTGGTATTTACTGTAATTTACTGACGTGGTTATTGCATGCTGGGCTCGCGGTGGAAGGCGTGGGTTTTTCTCGCTGCGTTGGGCACAATGTCACGCACTTGCTTAGCCCCTGGAGAAAAACAAAGGGGTTGGGCGAGCCAGGCCAGCAGCCCATCTCCCTCCTTCCTTGCGGCAGCCGCTGGGGGCTGATGGCAGAGCAAGAAGCTGCTGGCATCGGCCCCGTGCGGCGTCTCCTCTTAGGAGGCAGATTTAACTGCACTCTGCGGGGCTTTCTCCTTCCGAACTCTGAGGCTGTGAATAGTCATTGTGACTCACAGCAGTGGCAGATGCCATGCCATGCGAGAGGAGAATTCCTTCACCTACACGGACGGGTTTTTGGTTTGGGCTTCTTTTCCATTTCAGCAGAATGGCTGATCGCTTTTCCTCCAGTGTGAGTGAGTAGTTTCTGCTGTGCCTGCGGAAGCAAGAAGTGGCAGTAGATGCTCTCTCGGGAGCTGTCCTCTGCTGCTCTGATCTTCGTGTAGTTGTGCGCAGGGCGGGAGGACGCAGTACACGCCACGAGTAAAATCCCTTCTCGGTGTCACGTGACGGGGAGAAGATGATGATGTCGCCTGCTCTCCGCCTCTTAGCTTAGCTCCTGCTCCTGCCAGCACTCCCTTTGTACCAGGCACATCAGAGAATCTGTTCTGCCGAGGGACTGGTATCCCGACGGGACTGAATTATAAAAGCATGCTCCCGGCCATTGTCTGGAGGCAGATCAGCCTCCTGTCTCGAGGGAGTAAGCGGTGTGCCTTGCCGGTGTCATACTTCCCCGAGGATGTGAACACCGTGAAGTGAAACAGACCACCTTGGGGAAACTGGTTTGTCAGAGTGCTGGCTCGTGCCTGCTCTGAACCTCACTGGCGTGTTCGTGGTTGCAGGATTCCGTGTTTGTAGTGGTGGAGTTCGTTATTCTTGGTTTAAACGAACATAGGGTTTACTTTAAAAGGTACAGGTGATCCAGACCAATCTTCATCACACCCTCGTGTTTCTCCAGGTGCTGATTTATTAAAGCTGACAAGAGAAGATCTGGTACAAATCTGTGGTCCGGCCGATGGGATTCGGCTCTACAATGCACTGAAATCCAGGTAACGTGCCGAGGGTGAGGCGGAGTGGGTTTTGTTCTGTCCCTAGAATCCCCCGCGCTTAGAACCGGGAGATGTGGGGTGGGATACGGCGCCCGCGTGAGCCGTCTCGGGAGTCGGCAGCAGCGCTCCTTGAAAGAGCCGCCCTCCTGCGCGCAGCCTCCGGGCTGAGCCCGGGTCAGGCGGAAGCGCCAAATTCGAAGGTGGGCTGTGCCGACGGACGGATCTGCTGCTGGGAGACGGGACTTCTCGCCACGGGGAGCTGAGAACCACCCTGGGCCTTCTGAGGTGACAGGCGTTGCGTGCCATCCCGGCTGGGGAATCCCAGTCGTGACTGAAGCGGGCGTGTGCCGTCCCTGCCCGGTAGTTCCGTACCCGCATTCCAAGCCACGTCTTGATGAACTCGGAACCAACTGAAATCTTGTTTCAGTGTGAGGCACTGCTTAGCATGATGTTGGTTTTCATCTCTTTTGCTCAGGGAAAGCAGACCTGTCACGTGTCCCATTAGCGTAACGAACCTGCGGGTGTGGCCCCTATGTCCGGGGCTTGGAACCTTTTCTCTGATCCGTGGTTTCTGTGAACTGCAGGTCTGTGAGGCCCCGTTTAACGATCTACGTCTGCCAGGAGCCGCTGAGGAGCATACAACTGGAAAGACAGGATGCAGGCAATGGCGACAGCAGCAACGGTGCAATATATGGTACTCGGGGAGTGGGGGGGTGTGTCCCTTAGCGCGCTTCTCTCTTTTTTTCTGCTCTGAATTTCAGCCAAGAGGCTGAATTTCTGTTTCCGATGTAGAGAAAAAGCGGAGAAACCCTCCCAGCGTTAAACCGTCGATTGCTCTCAGTCCGCTGATAAAACTAACCGCAGTTACACGGAGGTTGACGAGGGAGCTCTCAAACGAGCTGCGCTGCGTTGTTACAGCCCGGGGACTCACTCGAGAAATGTCGGTGCCCGTAGAGCCACGTGCACACTTGGGTTCTTTCCCATTCTCAGGTTTTGCTGCCGTTTTCAGTGCAGCTGGTAGCGCCTGGCCAAGGAAAAGCAGCCAAGTGGTGTACAGCCTCATGGTTTTAGTGTCCTTTTCCTGAGAGAGCTGTTGTTTCAACACAGATGGGAACTGGCCTGTGAACTCACGTCAGGCCCACAGAGAAGGGAGCTGTTAGAAACGATTCTTTCCTTGCCCTGGCTCTGAGCGAAGAGGCCTCCCTCCCCAGCCGACTGAAACCTGGGCAGGCTGCTGCTGCGACAGCAGCTGTGTGTTTTCCAGGCAAGAGCTGAGGTGGAGGAGGAGCTGTAAAGGGGATCCCGTCTCTACTTTAGGAGGGAAGAACGTGCAGGCACGGAGCTGCTGGGGCCTGCAGTACGACGGGATGAAATAGCGCTAGGGACCTGTAAATGCAGCCTCACGCTGACCAGGTACCGTGTCTGACGGTTCTGCTCGCGTGCCGTGCGGTACTTCCGCCCCGCCACCTTCGGCGCTGAGGTGATCTGTAGGAACTTTATTCAGGCACTTGAAAAAGGCTTTCTTGACCAAAAAGGAGGTAATCTACATCCCTGCGTAAAGCAACAGCGCGGTCGTACGTGCCGGACGTATCACCTGCTGCTTTCGAGATGGTCCGAAAGCACTTGCAAAGTCACCGTCGGGTGACAGCAGCGCTCCGCGTGAGTCTGAGATGACCGTGCCTGTTTGTGCGGGATACAGGAAAAACCGGGGAAGTTGCTTTCGGCATCAGAGGAGACGGACGCCTCCCCCTTGTCAGAGGGTTGTGCTCGTGACTCTGCCTTGCAGGAGAAGTCCGGCAGGTCACGCTGCTTAGACCTGGGGGGGAGCGAAGGATGCTGGCGCTTCGCATGCTGCAGGCCGGGCTGTGAGCACACTTGGGCTTTCTTCACGCCGTTACGTGCTACCAGCCAGCGCCCTGCTTACGGCAACCATTTGTTTCTTGCAGTGTATCACGCAATCTACTTGGAAGAAATGGCAGCCTCGGAAGTCACGCGCAAGCTTGCTTTGGCGTTTAATATTCCTTTGCATCAGATCAACCAGGTTTACAGACAGGGTCCCACAGGTATCCACATCCTCGTCAGTGATCAGGTAACTGAGATCTCACTTTCTTGACACATTTTATTTATGAATTCAACAGAATGGAGGTTTTTCTTACGCTTGCTTCTTTATTAACGTGGGTGTTTTCTGTTTGATAATGCAACCCAGTATGTTCTGACGTTCAGAGTATTTTCCCCTTTCCATTAAAACAAGCCAAAGGATCCTTTAAATGTCACTTCGGCTACTTGACTGGACTGAGATTATGAGAAGAGGAAGGCAGCTGGTCCGTATCGTTCCGAGGTGCTGCCGTAATTACTCAGTATGTGTTTGTTCTGAACGTGCCCAAAGGCAAGGAGCCTTTCAATACTGCTGAACTCGCCTTATTCGAGCACCTGCTGCACACGTTTAGAGTTCCAGAACCACAGACAACAGCTCCCAGCTGGTTGTCACACGATTAACAAGCGGTATTGCGACCGCAACGTGTTTTAATTTAGTGGGGTATGTGCTCGTCACCTTTGAGCCCTTGCTGAAGGAACACAAAATAAGCAGTTTCTCACAAAAGGCTGGTTTTTATTTTTTGCATCGGTTGTACTCAGGAGGGTTTCAAAGCTTATTTTCTTTTTTGCAGATGGTTCAAAATTTTCAAGACGAGAGTTGTTTCTTATTCACCACGATAAAAGGTACGGTGTCTTTTGATGGTTACAAATGCTGTGTCCACCGAGGAGCCTTCCTTAAAGCGCCACACCTTTCTGGTAGAACTTCCCCCCGCAGGGAGGATCGGCAGTTCCGGGGAAGGCCGACTGGCTCCTGCCCACCCACGGCGGTGGCAGAGAGCCTCCACGACTTACTCATAGAATCATGGAATGGTTTGGGTTGGAAGGGACCTTAAAGCCCATCCAGTTCCAACCCCCCTGCCATGGGCAGGGACACCTTCCACTAGACCAGGTTGCTCAAAGCCTCATCCAGCCTGGCCTTGAACACTTCCAGGGATGGGGCATCCACAGCTTCTCTGGGCAACCCGTGCCAGTGCCTCACCACCCTCTCCGGGAAGAACTTCTTCCTGATAACCAATCTAAACCTACCCTCTTTCAGTTTAACCCCCTTTTACTGGCATAATATATAATATACTGAATATCTACACATTAAAAGCCGCTGCGCCACAGCAAAAGCCAAGCCCCTAATTCGACGTTGTGGCATGTCGGCTGGTATATTTACGGTTCTGTTTGTGAAAGGCTGAGCCCTTTTTTTTTCCCCCCTTTCAGCTGAAAATGGTGAAGGCTTCCATATAATCTTGAAGTGACGTCACGCGATCGCTAGGCCGATACTCCGACACAGAACGAAGTCCTGCCGAAAGATGATGGTCATCCCAACCCTTAGGATCTAACTTCACCGTATAAGATGTTTCATATTGAAAACACAAAATGACCTTTCTAATGAGCTGTTTGATAGGTGAACTTTCTTATCACTGCCAGAGCTAAGCGTCCTCAGGAGAGGCGCAACGCCGCGACAGCTGACGTACAGGCACGCAAGACAATGCAAGCAAAGGTGCTTGCCCTTTAACTGAAATAAGGCAAATTATGGCCAGTAGATACAGTTTCTAGAAGCGGAGCGCTGCGGCTTTTCTGCTGCCTGTATCCAGTTGGAGATGAATGTAAACTCATTTGGGGGCATTTACCTTTCTGTGCCAGTTTGTCTGTTACTTGCTTGTACCTTAACGCTGGTTTTATTTTGTTGATGTTAGCAGAGCACATACGAATCTGTGTGGAGATGAGTCGTTAGGCTGATCGTGATCAGGTTGTCGGGTCTTTGAGAGTAAAGCTGTCAAAACAGCTTCCCGTGTAAATTGTGTATAAGAGTGTATGTAAGAAGTGTAAATGCCAGAACGGGGCTTTTAAGAAGCCCTAGACAGATGCAATATATGCATGCAGCAAACTGCATTAGCAACAGTACCTTATCGGAGGGATTAATAGAAATCCCAGGGGGTACCAAGTAATTGTGTTTTGCTTTAACAGATTTAATGGAAAAGAATTGCCTATGCATCCTTTACGTTTAGTTTCCCGGGTTCCCTGCGGAGCGCTGCCGCAGGTTCAGCTCCTTGCTTGTAGGGCGGTGGAGTTCTTCCGGCTCGGTGGAATCGCGCCGACGAGGGAAGGTGACCCGCTGGCACCGGGGGGCTCGTCGGTGCTTTCGGCAACATCGAAGGCATCGCTTGAGAAACACTAAATCTGCACCCGTTTGGGCTCCTGACCGGCAGGGGAAAGCCGTGCTGGAGCTGCTGCCGTGGACCAGCAGCTTCCCTTGCCCTCGCCCTCCGCTCCCGTACTGTACGGCTGTTACAGTGCCTCTCCCCCGGGACTGAGTAGCTACTCCTCTGAGACAGGCTGCCTGCTTTCACAAGGCCCCGGATCTTTCCTGTAAAGACCCGGCACGGCGCTTCCCGCGAAGTCTCGGCTGGGTAGGTACTTGGAGGGGGCCAGAGGGAGGCACTTTGGAAGGTGCCGAGCGACAGTTCCCTAGAGCTGGCGTTTGGCGCCCTTGAGGCGTTCCGGCTTCGCAGCATGGGGACGGTTTGCTTTTTACGCTGGGGTGCTCAGCGTAAACGCCGACGCCAGCGCGTGGAAAAGCAGCCTTGACTTTTTGCTGGCTCCCCCTGTCGTAACTGGCTCAAGTGCTTAGCAGAAAAGCTTCTTAAAGCGGTAGCATTTTGAAAGTTTAAATTCATCAGAGCTAGAGTTCCTTTCCTATTTCTATTTTTTTTTTTTTCTGCACTGAAAGTAAAATTTTATGTACTTAAAACATTTCTGCCTATAAGTTGTTCATCTTTGGGTATCGCTTGGTCCTAAGTATTTTCTTGAACTGACACTTGTGTCTTTTCAGCTCACACCCTATTCAAATCCAAATGTTTTATAAAAAAGGGGAAAAAATCCTTGATTGGAAAGTATCCAAATAGCTAATTTTAAAGACTATTGAAAGTTGTACAGTAGTTTGTCCAGCTCACTTGAAATTGGGATTAAATTATGGCACCAGCAAATTGCTTTTGTTTTTTAATAAGATGTACACATTTCAATTTAAGTATAATAAATGTTTTTCAATAATTTTGTAAACGTGCTTTCTTTTTCTGTACTTGCTTTTCCCGCACCCGTCAGGGACCCCTCTCCGCTCCGGAGGGTGTGGATGAGCCGCAGGTAAGGGGTAAGGAAGGAGTGAGTAAGGGGTAAGTAAGGAGAGCACACCCGCCGTCGAAGAACGGAGACGCGTTCAGCATGGGCGTCAGCTGGCCGTTTATTGAAGTGTCCTGTACCACAGCACGTTCCCTTCGGTTCTGTACATCTTTACCGCAAGAGACTTACAAGGTTCATCACGTTTCTTGGGGAAAAAACCCCCCAAAAAAAAAAGGGAGCCAACAAAAGCTAACGCAGCCTGACATCCCGGTACGGCCGAGAGCGAAGTCCGCGTCGCGCTCTCCGCGAGGGCGGTGCCTTAAGGGAGCTCTGGGCACGGCTGGCCCACCGCTGCCGTGCGAAACAAGCCCCGACTGGCTCCCTGTGTGGGAGTCAACAGCTCCGGAGACCTTGATTTGCCGTCCCCGGCGCCTGTGAGCGCGGGAAGCACGAGCACGGCCGCCCTGTCCATAGAAGCTGGGATGTTCACGCTCCTAATGAGGAGCTCACAAGCTGGAGGGAGAGCTGCAGCAGTACCCGCAGCGGCTTCTGCTTTTTAAGCCAGCGTTTCTGTTCATTTTCAGTAAACAGGCCCCCGAACTCTTGAAGCGGACACGCAGAGTCAGCCTTACCCAAAACGCTTCCTGACCGGTTGAGTAGTTTGTCTCGGTTAATTAAGTTGCTTAATATAAAAAAAGTTCATTTCTCTTAACCCGCTAGCACTGAAAAACTAAGGATGAAAGCACGGCCTGAAGAGTCAATCGGTAGCTTTTATTCTTGCCCTTCACAAGCTGACAGCTTCTCACGTAACCCCGCGCCGAAGCGTTGGGCTTCCTGCCCTTGAAACACGCAGCTGTGGGGGTTGGCTCAAGCCCTGCCTGTGGCTGTCTCTGCCCAACCGCTTGCTGCGTCCCCAAAAGGGGTGGGACAAGCAACTCGAACCAAACTCCTCGTTTCCCCTGCTTCACCCCCCGCAAAGCAGGCGATACGCCCCTCTTCCTTGCCTTACGAACCGAGGGGGCCACGGGGCGGGCCGCTGCAGCAGAGCGGGCGCTCGACCACAGCGGGTTTCTTACCCCTTGGGAAGGCCGATGGCGTAAAGACGTGCCTCGGTGCCGGACAAGCCTCGTACCGGCACACGCTCCGGCCGACCCAAGTTCCCAAACGCGCAGAGTAATTCTGTGTTTAGCGTTACCTTGAGGTACTGCCTTACCTTTTGACCTATTACGTCCCGTTACGTCATTAAAGACGAAGCTGAATCATGAAAAAGGAGAAGCTGTTTCGCCGTAAGAGCTCATTACCTTGCGTGTTTTTGGTCAACTTTGTGCGAATGTTGATTTGTCCGTAAACCCGGCGCTTGATCTGTGGCGTATATTACAGAACAGCAGGCTCAGCTCCTCGGTGCGACGGCCCGCAGCCCCGCGTCGGGTCGGAACGTCACCGGCGCTTGCAAACGCCTCCGGGTTTGGCCGCCGCCCGCCCCGCCGCTGCCGTGCCGAAACGCCCCCAGCGTTTTACACGGGGCTTCAGTTCTCATGCCAACAGAAGGAAGGAGTTACTAATACAAACCGAAGCATCACCAACTTAATCCACAGCTGCACATCACGGTAAGGTTTTTACCTGGAAAAAAAACTGCTTTTCTTGTCACAAAACTGGATGACCAAACACCAACCACTAGGACCGTCAGGAAACCAACTCCTTCCACTGACGTGCAGTCCCCGGTCTTCTCTTCGACAACGACAACAACAATATTTTCTGTGGGGTTGCACTTACTGTCAGAGAATAATACAGCATCTGCAGAGGCGCTGTCCGCTCCCTCCGACCGAAGGAGGGGGAGTTACGGGAGCAAAGTAAGCATGGACTTTGACGTGAGGTAGGTGAGCCTGTGGATGAAAAGGCTGCGTTGTAACGGGAGCGAAGGGAGCCCAACCAGCAGCCCACCTCAATCACAGCCAGCAAGTCGGCTCTCGTTAAGGTGGGTTAGCTAAAAACATCTGTACGCTTCATACTCTCCAAGCTGTCTTCTCCCCACAGGGAATTCTCGTCCCGCATCTGGCTGAGGCACACCGGAGTCTGGGCACGTGTGCCCGCACTGGGTTCCCGCTTGCTTCCCCATAGGCCCCCCCCCCAGCAGGGGAGACGGATGGAGCCCTGGCTGCTGCGGGCAGACTTGTCTGCATCTCGTCTCCCACATCCCCTGCTCCTCTCACCCTAGAAAGCAGCGTGGAATAGAACCGGGCATCAGTCACCATCAGGGAGGAGCTTTCCGACTGCACAAGTGTTTGGACACAAATCTGGGATACAAACCTGCAGACAGGACAGTCCCTGACCGCACCGGGGAGGGACACGGGGGGGCAGAAGAGCCGGTGGCTGGATTCCAGGGCCTAACGTCCCCACAACCCATCACCTGAAGTCTTCATGCAGCTCTTGTGCTATGGGCTCTGCACGTTAACGTGCATTTTAGGAGAGGTAAAGAATGCCCCTACACCATCCTCAAAGCACAGCCGTCTGCGTCTGAAGGCGGCCAGAGAGCAGAAGATGAGCGCTCGTCGGGCCAACGGCGAGAGTGGCGTCAGTTATGAGCAGAACTCGACAACGCCTACTGCTGGTAGAGAAATGTGCAGCTCTTGTGCTATGGGCTCTGCACGTTAACGTGCATTTTAGGAGAGGTAAAGAATGCCCCTACACCATCCTCAAAGCACAGCCGTCTGCGTCTGAAGGCGGCCAGAGAGCAGAAGATGAGCGCTCGTCGGGCCAACGGCGAGAGTGGCGTCAGTTATGAGCAGAACTCGACAACGCCTACTGCTGGTAGAGAAATGAAATGCGCTCAGTCCCTAGAGGTGGAGACCTAACGGAATAATACTCTGACCCTCCTTCTCCCGTCCTCCCTTGCCCGGGCCATCTGCCGGATTCATACGCTCTCAACAGCCAGGGCGCTCCCACCGGAACGAGGCAGCGAACACGTACTCTGATGCGTTTGATTCCCGCTCGCGTGACTTGCTGGCAGTCGTACAGCTCAATCCTCTCCAGGTTGTGGCAGTTCTCCAGGTGTTCCAGAGTCACGTCAGTGATGAGAAGACAGTTATCCAGCTCCAGGACCTGCAGCCTCTCATGACCGCACGTGCTGTTGCTCAGATGAAGAATCCCATCATCGGTGATCAGTTCACAGTGAGATAAGCTCTGAACCAGAGAGGCATAAACAGTTAATGACATCACTCAGTCCACCAAACGTCAGAACTCCTCCCCAGCCTCCTTCACTCTAGTGGTTAAACAGAGAACATAGCGCTGAAATCCAGAAGAGTAACCAAAGAAACAGCTCTGCCTACCGAAAGAAGAGCTGTACTTCAACTTTGCTTCAAACCCAGTACAGTCCCAAAACACACGCCACTGGCAAACACCTCAGGCCCCTTTGCTGCTGTGAAGGTGGGAACTCTGTCCCAATGGTCACACACCTCCCATACAGGTGGCTGCAAACCATCACAGAACGGTTTGGGTTGGAAGGGACCTTACAGACCATCCAGTTCCAACCCCCCTGCCATGGGCAGGGACACCTTCCACTAGACCAGGTTGCTCCAAGCCTCGTGATGATCTTCAAGAACAGAGGAACAGATGAGGACCTACTGACAGGAGCGAGGGTTTCGCAGCTACCACACCTTCATACACACCACTAGGACCCGGCCTGTGCAAGTCCGCACAGATAAAGCACAGACCGGGCCGATTCACCAAACGACGACTTCAGGAAAACCAGCAGCGCTCGGCACCTCGGCCTGTACTTGCAAGGAGTAATTAACAACTTGTACAGCTGCAGGAGCAACTCTTTTCTGCAACAGTCAGCATAACAAACCAAAGAATTCTGCTCTTCAGCCTACTTTTTGCTCCTTTGACTTTCCAGAGCATGGAAAAAGTTGCAGCATCTCGGGCAAGAGCACCACATAAAGCAGTTCCCTGGTTCCTTCCGGGAATTCGTGACTTTTGGAGAAGCAATGATGATGACAACAACAGGAAACAGACTTGCCTCCTAGTAGGCTTCAGAACCCCCCTTTGCCGCCTGTGGAATGAGTGCTGCTAAGGCTGCTGCACTAGAAACACTGGGGACCTGGGAACCCTCCTCCTCTCGCCCCGGGCACTGGGCTAGCTCTTCGCTTCTGCTCAGCCACGGCTCTCGCCTGCACTTGCACCCCAGTCTAACGGGGACTGGTTTTGGAGTAGCCTTGCGCTGCCACAAGGGGTTTTTCAGGCAGCGACTGCTGCGGAAACACTTGCAGCGATCTGAAAATGCTGTTTAATTTGGTGCAAGCTGACTAGCGCCCAAAAGTATCTCCTGGCAGTCACGTGCAGCAAACTAGCCTTCGGCTCAGCACAGCGCATCGATCTCCTCTGATCTCAGCCTGACGAGGAAGCCCGAGAACTTCCCGCCCTGCCTTACCCTCGTTTTGCCTTTGCTCGCCGGCCACCAGATGCACGCGGGGGTCTGTCCTGCCCTTCAGAGCCACCTGCCCCTCAACTTCCTGTTTCCTCCGTTGCTCAGCAGGATGAAGAGAGTAACCAGAGGAGAGCTTGGGAGGCAGGTCTGCAACTCCCCTCGAGTCCGACGGGGAGACTGGGCAGCTGGCCGTAACCCCACGCAGCGCCGACGCCAACGCACGCCGTCTCCAAACGGTGACAGCGACGAAGCGCTCGCCCCCATCCAGAGCCTTTCAGCTTACGACGTGTTTACGCTCTGCAGGTCTATCAACTCTTTAAATACCTCAGTCTCCTGCGCCTACTTTACACAGGTGTCCTGAGCATTCCGTTTGGCTCACAGCCTGGAAGGCACCCGCCGCTGCGGGGTTAAAGACCATTTACAGCAGACTGTTGCAGGGAGGTTATGTGAAGCTGTCGGCTCCAGCAGCAGTCTGCTGGCTAATTAAGGTTCTTCTGACCCAGGAAGTAAGCAGCTTATAAAATTCAGCTTTCCTGAGACACTGTATTCGCTACTGAAAGGACAACACAGGATGTGCAGCCGAGTTCCCAGAACTCTGTGAAACAAACAGGCCAAATGAGACTCACTTTTTATGACTTCCTAAGCCTGTTAGAAAGTGTTAATGACATGGAACTGGTGAAGATAATTGCTTGAAATCTTTAGAGCAGAAAGATACACTAAATTCTTGTTTTGCTGATACACATAAAATGCTGTGTATCAATCAAATGCGACATGATATCCTGCAGCAGCAAGAAACTACGATCAACACAACTGAAGAATTCAACTGTCTTCTCAGCTCCATGAATACTATGAATATTTCACAGTTTCTCTAATAATCTGAAAGTCAAACACTTTCATCAGAATTTACTTCTGAAGTCCAGTAAGTAATAAAGCATGTGAGTACTCTGATGCTGGTGAAGATGTAACCGTTGGTGATCACTGATCTAACAGTGCTTTTAGTTACTTCCACCATCTAGTGAGTGTCCAAACGCCAAGAAACAAATTCAAAGTTGGTAATTTCAGCTCTGAACTATTTGATTGAACTGCCAATATTCTAAAGACACGCTCAAGCACAGCCACAGAGGAGTTACGGAACCATCAGCAGCACACGATTTCCCATCTGGCGTATCAGGACTCGCTCACGTAGGGTGTTTGGCACCTGCTAGTCTGTTCTTCCTTCCCCTGTAATTCTCAGCCATCACTGTTCACTCAGTCTTTGAGTATGTATCCTTCCTACACACCGCACAGACACATCAACAAAACCAGTCGGGTTTTCTGGTTCAACAACAACAAGGTTCGTTGTTTTACCAATGCCACGCTTCCCTGCCTCTGGGCTAACAGACAGAGGCCAGCAAACAGGAGGAGGTTCTGAAAAATACTTGGAAACAATGAGGTTTTCTGATGTCTCTGGTGAAGCACTGGCAGAGCTGGCACAAAAGTTCTCTTGCAAGTGCTGGTTACAACTGGATTGACAATACAAAATCGTATCCCTTGCAGAAGAGCAGGAAGTGTCGCATATAAATGGCTCCACATCTCCTGACAAGTCTTGTTTGGCTTAACAAGTGGTACAGAAATAATGTTGGACAATTAATAAGCAAAAATAAAACCCAACAACAATAAAAAACAGTGAACAAGCTCCTTTTTAAAAGCCATCTCTCCTCGTGTTGCTACCTTAGTAACACTAACTAACCGTAACACAATTTAATTAATGAAGCAGCAAACCTTCCTCTAATCCCATCTAAGAACAGATTATAAATAAAGCTGCTTGTTCTCTCACGTCGTTCTGCAGTAGTATATACCAAACCTACAGTCACGGGACAACTGGCCCTAAATACAGGAGCTCCTGTTGTAAGGACAGTCCAGTAATTTTGAGGTACCTAGACTGAAGAGCAGCCAAATTCACATCACCTGAAATTGGTTCTGATGTTCCAAAATATCTAGGCGAGCACTCCCAAGAAAACAGTTCTCTGAAAGAAGCTAGGCAGGGCACCCCTCTGAAGGCATCCCAACTCTCTACAACAGCCAGTCAAAACCTACGTCAAAAACCTTCCATAATTTACTATGGAAATGTAGTCCTTGGGAGAAAGGGCCTGCAAGCCAAACTGATTACAGAGGGATTACATTTCACTGGGTGGTTTTGTTTATTCAATATTTGACATGAAGCGTCCTACTCCCCAAGAAAACCATTAGTGAACACTTGAGAGTATCTATAAAGGATCTGAGTACTGTAAATTGAACTAAGTAATCAAATATAAAGGATTTCAACCATAAAATATAAACTTTCCAATTATTACTCACTGATTTGGTAATATTTTTTTAATCCCCAAATGCACGTAAATATTTTAGGAGCAATCTGCTTCTTTTAGCATACGTACGAAACTTGCATATATTTGGCACAATATCACTTCCAGGAATCAGGAATTTTTTTCTAGACAAGAGAGCAAACAGCCTGTTTTTATACTGCAGGAGTTGCGTATGCATGTGGGTTTGGGGGATTGGAAAGCTCAGGAACAGAGAGCTAAACTTACCAATGCTTGTAGCTTAGGACAGTGTATAGAAAGTTGTATCAACGTGCTGTCAGTTATCTAGAAACGAAAGAAAACAGCCATAAGCAACAGACAGTAGGAGGGCCAACCCTCCAATATGGTATCTCTTTCTCCACCAGCCAAAGCTTCTGTTACTTGTGGAAAACACCCCATCACCCGTCACTCTTCAAGTTATTTCCCTGTTCAGAATTCCCCAATAAGTATTTTTATTCACTACCCCAGCCGCAGCACTATTCAGAAGAAACAAAGCACATTTAACCGACAGGGCTAATGTTCCTATCAGCACTGCGTTCTCACGCTGGATGTTCAATATTCTCCTTGCCACAGTAAATCTCACCAAAACACATTCTTCCAGGTCCATCTTCTCCAGCTCGTGGCAATTCTAAAATAAACAAACAAAAGAAAACCGCTAACAGATAAACAGAAGGTGAAATAAACCAACATGTAGACATAAAATCACGCACAGGGCTAACTAATATGGGACAGCACAATTTCCAAGAGGAAATTGTGAGCTAAATCCCTTCAAGCATCCCAGAGATGTTGTGGATGCCCCATCCCTGGATGTCTTCAAGGCCGGGCTGGATGAGGCTTTGAGCAGCCTGGTCTAGTGGAAGGTGTCCCTGCCCATGGCAGGGGGGTTGGAACTAGATGATCTTTAAGGTCCCTTCCAATCCAAACCATTCTCTATGATCTCCAAAGGACAAAAAAGGGTATTAAAAAAAGGCATCCACACCCCCCCCCCTTCTCAAACTTCTACATTTCAGCCTCTCTCTTATTAAGTGAATTTTTTCCTTCTTGCCCCGTAAAGTTTGAACAGAACCAGCCACCCCTGCTCCCCTTCGCCTTTTCGGGTCACTTCACACCCGTGGCAGTTACAGCCTGTGCACTAGATCCAACTGATCTGCACGCAGCCAGATCCAACTTCTGCGTGCAACAGCCTGCACTAAGCCAGCCTGAAACACACTCAAGCCTGTGGAACATCTCTCTTCACCACCATACTTTGGAAAGAAGCCTTAAAAACAATTTGCATTGCTAATGAAATTAGCAATTTTATTAAAATTGGGTCCACTTTAAGGCTGGGAGAGAGCTGCACTTCATACTCATACAAGCAACTTTCCCAATATTCTGAGAGCTGCCCCCCCCCCAGCTTTTAGAAGGGCATTCACTATGTGATCATGGCACACTTCAAGGCAGTGATGCCAGCTGGTGACCTCCCAGCAGACCACATGGTGCCTTGCACTGCCCAAACCCCAACCCCTGTTCTTCCCAGGCACAGGAAGAAAAGGGCTCAACTTGCAGCTCCCAAAAGCAGGCCTGAGGTGAGCACCGAAAGCCCAAGGCTGCAGTGCTGAAGAGTTACAGAACCACGCTGTTTAACCCCCGTGGCTAGAAAATAAACCACTTCCATTCACACTATAGATCAGGAGTGCAAATGAATCCCGTTCAGAGAGTATTATTTTTGTGTTAGGATTTCCTAAACCTGCCAGCAGGCAAGTCTAACTTGAGCATTTGATACCAGCAGTGTGCTTACTCTACGTATTTACAGCATGAACGGGGACACAAGCGTTCACGATTTATAACCTGAAGGTATGCCCAGAATAATCTATCACATGGTGATTTTTGGGGTGTAAATATCATGAGTGGATGTCTCGTCTTTATAGGGAAATTTGGCTAGAACACATAACACAAGCTTGGAATTATGATAAGCATAATAAATCCAAAGGAAACATCATCAATCCAAAGGAAAAAAGTGAAAAATGCACCAATAGATGGCAAAACAGATCAAGTTGCAGCTTAAGTATAATCCAGAAATAAAATCTCTTTCTAGTGTCCTCCTCCCCTGGGCTCTTCCTACTTTACTCTCCTTCCCCTCAGATGCCCTCCCAGCAGGACTACGTCAGTTCACAGCTGCTCGGCAGCAGTGGAAGCAAGGCGAGCTCTGCCCCTCTGAGGTGACCCTTACCCGTGCTAAAAGGGTGAAACCAGCATCTGTGAGATGTGAACATCTTGCAGCTTCCAGAATCCTGGAAAAGTTTTAAATGTTAAAGAAAACATTAACATAGAGAAAAGCATTTGAGACACAAATCTGTCTTCTACAACTTAAAGCTCCCAAGAGCAAGTGTATATATATGCCTATTTTTCACCGTAATTTGCAATTAAAAAGCACTAGGCAGACTTTTGATCCAGCTTAATAGAACAGATTAAGTTCAATCCAGAATTCTCACCAACACCGAGTGAAAAAAAAAAAATTACACATAATTACAGGCACTTTGACCTCTTGTTTCAGTAAGACAGCAAAACGCTCAAGTTTTCTCGTATGTTATCTGAGGAAAGATGTGGGAGAATAAGCCCTGAGCTAAGGAAAATGCAGATGAAGCCTGGATCTAAAACCTGTTATTTGAACACAGGATGTTGAGAAGCCACAAAACTGAGAAACCGCTTACTAGAAATTCACTCGGAGCCTCTGCATGAACCACAGCAAAGCACGTTACCAGAAAGCAAGTGGCTTAAATTCTCCAATCCCACAGTAAAACCAATAAACTACACTAACACAACCTTAAAGAGTGCTCGGCAAAGATAAATCTGACAGTCTTTTGACAGCACTGGGGAGCAATACTGACAAAAAGAGGTCAACTGCCCCAAACGGCACCGCGAGGACATAGAACGGGCCTCCACCCCGTAACTGTGTCTTTGTTGTCATCCTCTCTTCTTTCAATAAACACTTTTTACTGTGCAGGTGGAGGAAGTATCAAGATGAATAAGGGGAAACCACAGCACTGTGCACTGACAAGCACCAACTAAGCACAACTTACCCACCGGCCACAGCAAACGCGACGTCTATACTGGGGTCGGCCGCGGAGGAGGCAGGGCAAGATGGATGAAAGGACCTCTTGCAGTGGTACCCCTCAGAGGCACCTAGATCCTCCCACTGGTATAGAAGGTCACGGGAAAGCACCCTCTCCGTGGACAGAGTGCAAAAGGAAAAGCCACGCTGTGTGCATGAGAAAAATACCACCCCACCAGAGCGCAGGATGTGGGGGCTTGACTGTGACTTTGTTCGATCCGCCTTTTCCACGCCACAAGCAGGGGAGGTGGGTGTAAGGTGGGTTGTGTGGGGTAAGCAGCCCCAACCACTGCGTCTCTGATAACGACTCCGAGCGCTAGTCTTCAAGGAGTGTGAGGGAAACCCAGGAACAGCCAACAGAGCGGTACGAGACAGGTATTGCTTTCCAAATGGATGGTTGTAACACCTCTGGATTTCCTTTCCAGACTCCTGTTTGGGAACTTTGTATCCTTTGTGCCCTTCCATCAGGGGAAGCCTATGGTAAAATGCTCCCAGATACTTTGAGAATTACCTAGGATGCCAGATAGGACAGGAAAAACACCACCACCACTACAAAAACCGTGATGCAAGTCACAGTTGTTACCCTGTACCTCATGTCACTTCCTTTCAACTCCACCTACAATAAAACCATTGGATTCCCAATCCCATTACATTTCTGAGCGTAAAGGGAGCGGGAGGGAAATGCCATCCGCAGCGTGCAAAGTGGTGGGGATGCTACTTACTGCACATCTGGTTGAAAAGCTGTGAGGACTGTGGGAACAGCGGGGTAAGAGGTCAGGAGACGAGGAGCTCTAGCCTTCCTGAAACCGGGTGTGCAGTCAGTCAGAAGAGCAGAATGGGGAGAGTGAGCTATACACCTCCCACGATGCAAACCAGGTGGGAAGGCACTGATCAGCATGGAAACAAGCAAAGTTCCAATTTTTGCTTTGTTTTAGTGATTGTACTTAATTACAGAGGGCTCTTCTTTCTCCAGATAGAGCTGTTATTTCTTTCCCATCCATGGAATAATGGGTATAAATTGAAATCAGGGAGGTTTAGATTAGATGTCAGGAAGAAATTCTTCACAGAGAGGGTGGGGAGGCACTGGAACAGGTTGCCCAGAGATGTTGTGGATGCCCCATCCCTGGATGTCTTCAAGGCGAGGCTGGATGTGGCTTTGAGCAACCTGGTCTAGTGGAAGGTGTCCCTGCCCATGGCAGGGGGGTTGGAACTAGATGATCTTTAAGGTTCCTTCCAACCCTAACCATTCTATGATTCTATGATATCTTTCAGGGTGTCACTGGCCAGTGGCAACAGCTGCAGTACACAGCAGTGCCGTGGAACGCAGCGCTGTAGGACAGCCAAGACTCTGAAGCGGAGTAGCATGGCACAGGAAATACTCAAAAACTTCCTAACAGGGCCAGCATGTCCAACAGGGGCAGGAGAGAGTTTTCTTTCACACTCAATGCCAAAATATTCAGAAGGTACGAACAAGAGTGGAATTACATTCCCCTCTGATTTCCAACACAATTTTTATGAAGTAATTTGCGTACACACTCCTGCAAGTCCAGCTGTAACCAGCTGTATCATCTGCCCTGCCACTGCAGATTCCTCCACAGTCATCACTGCAAAGGGTCGGGTTTTCCCTTACGCTGTTCCTCGTCGAAGGAGAAGAACGGCAGACGCCTTCCCCCTCGTGGCACAGACCGGGGCTAACACTTCACCTACCGAAGTCAGAAGAATTCCTGCTACAGCTGTACTGCCCTTGGAAAGAACTGCACAGCAAATAGCACTTTAGACCTCCTTTCATGTCCAATCTGAGCTGTGAATTGAGAGAATGAGAGAAATTGTGGGAAAAAAAAGACCAGTGATAACAGCACCACTGTCTAAGGAACACGATTAAGCGTGTCAGGAGGCTCCTAAGCCCCAGACACGGGCACACACAAGCTCCTCTAAGTATGAGCTGTTACGAGAAGGGGACTCCTGCACTGGAGTTGTCTTAAGGATGGGGTTTCTACGGTTACAAAAGCCGTTTCACTCCATCAGCTAAAGGAACACTGCGTGACAGCACAGTGCACACTGACATCTGAGGGTACCTTCCCCTCACTTTTACGATCTACGCCTCGCTCCACTTATCCGTGATTGAAGTTTAACACGTTGCGACTCCTCCATGTTCCTGTCATAAATGGCAACGTAGTGTCATCCAAAAATATTTTGGTTTAATTTACATTAAAATGAGACCTTACAAGAAGTATGATATGTCTCGACAACCAGAGAGCTGCTGCATGAATGAGCTTTGTTATTAAAGCTGAATCCGTCCCCACTTCTGAGAATACCACCCTATCGTATGTGTTAGAGCAAATTACACCGATGTAAAAGTCTGTATTACTTCTAACTGATGAGCCCCTATTACTCAAAACACATCTCAGAAGAATCAGTCCTCAGTGCTTGCAGAGACAGTAGCACACTCCACATCAGAGTTTAAGAATGCCAGGATGTACTACAGAGCACATTAAAAACATACTTATAATAAAAATCTGTAAATATAACACTCAGGTATGATTTAGCTGTTTTTTTTCCAAGACCAACGACTGCATAAAACCATATCAGAATACAAACATCACGAGACACAACACAACTACAGCTATTTTTACCTTTTCTTAAAAAAAAAAAAATAGGTTTTATGTCTTCTTTTCTTCTGGCTTGTAATTAGTACCTATAATACTCAGCTAGAAGCACAGAACTGAAATGCTAGGTTCAACATGAGTAATTTGTCATATATTAATTCTTGCTTTTCCAATACAGAGCAGACTACGTTCATATGGTGGCCGCCAAGAACCAGCCCTCAAGTTTACATTCAGCTGGTACTTCTGACTTAATGTTTTGATCGCACAGGTGACCACACAAAGCTAAACGAAACCTGTGGATACCCGATTATCTTCAGAAGTGGATTTCTTAGATGAGGCCAGTAACAACGTGACGTACTCACGACAGGCTCACGACATACTCACTTCAGCCTCGGGCAGTTTAGACCAAGTGCCGTGAGAGATGCGTCTGTAAGGTTGCTACAGCCCGACACACAGAGCGACTGAAGTCTGTGACACCCTCTACAGATCTTCACAATGCCTTCGTCTGAAATTTGCTGCAACGCAGACAAAAGTTGAAGTTAACTTTGTTAGCAAGTAATTGGTTAAGAACAAAACTCAAGTCACACGACTAAACTGTTAGTGTCACGTTGTATAACCATGGCAACTTGCGGATTTTCAACCCAAAAATACCATCGTGTCACCACGTTCATCGATAACACTGAAGATGATCAACACACACAATTCCTACTTCTCTATGCATCTTTCCACAGATCTCAAGTACAGTCTGAAGCACAGAGGGAGAGTTGTTTGTTGCTGTCTTCCTCTTTCACTTCACTTTTGCTTTATAACTTTCACACTTTTTAAAAATTGTAGTTGTTATTGTGTGAAATAGCTGCTTTATATGTTTGTAGAGGTCAGGTCTTCTGTCCCAGTGACTGTGTAAGTGCAAAGAGAGCTTAAAGCACAACAGCAAGAGCACTTAACTGCCTACTTTGCAGAGGAGCAGACGAACCCGAGGGTTAAAATCCTTCACCTCTGGGTAATTTTCAAAGCAAGAGTTACAGGTAAACAAGTACATACAATCCGTCCTTCACAGAAGATAACTGTAAAAGCCAGGTTTGCCCTACCCTATGCAGCTGTCTTTAGCTGAAAGATTTAACTCGAAAGAGGGCTAGTCATTTCTCAAAATTGTTTTGTACTAAGTATTCTGAAAAAAGTAACTCTAAATATGGAACGTGAATAAAAAGAGTTCTCTCTCTGAAACAGGAACTATAAGCAGATGCACACAAAATAGCAACAGGAACTGGGTTATTGGGTGTGGGTGTGCAAATATTATTTTGTTTACAAGGACTTTTATTCTGGAAAAAAGTATTCTCTCCTCCTCCAGCTACTAACTCCAAGAATTCATTTTTTCTGCTCAATGACTAATCCTTCATGGTGAAAGAGGTTATTTTATTTTATGGCCTAACATTACTCGTCCAATGATAACGAAGACCTCTACTGTATTCTGAATTGAAAATACATGTTGTGTTTCTAAGCCACTCATCTAGGTACACTGATACTACTACAGCAAATTCCTCAGGCTACTACCACAAACGTTGCCTTTCACAGACGAAAACAGTAGGAGATATAGCAGTGGCTCAGCATAAGGAGACCCGCTGTGTAAAAATCAATGCTAGCCCTTTGACCATGAAGAGCCTGGCTGCTTTTGGAAGCATGTTTCTAAGCCATAGCAAGCAGGACACATCTCCAGTGAAAGAAAGCTTTAAAGCAGACGTAACTAGGTAGGACACACAGACTATCAAATCAAAAAGGAAAAATACTTTCACTCATAAGGGTTTTTTTGTTTGTGCTTCCTACCTACATGATAACAAGCATACTGGCCAAGGGAAAACACTGGTACACTGCTATGCCAATGCCCCTTTTAAGCAGGCGAGATCTCAACTGATCGTCATCAGACCTCTTGACTGCCTTTCAGAAAAACAGTCAGAAAAGGCTGGTCTTGATAGATTTCATTAGTCTCAGGTAAAACACAACAGAAAAAGAACTTTGGAGGAGGAACAGTGAAAGGAAGAGTCAACTAGGGGGAACTTTACTAACTGACTTAAGTGTGGTTCTGACCAAAAGAAGACACTTCCTTTCATTCCCATTATCTTTAAGTGCCCAACTTCAGTGGGCACCTAAATTCAGACTGAAAAATCTGAAAACTCTCTCTCTCAGGAAACATCTGGCTCATGGAAGCTCAAGCTTTGTATTCATATTGTTCTTAATTTCCACAGTTTTTAAATGTAACGTTAGTAGTCCATAACACTCCAAAATGTTCAATGCTTTAAAAAAATCTATTAGGTCCCAAAATTTTCAAAAATGGGTCTATGATTCTTAGAGAACGTATCTTTTCAAATACTTACTGTACAGGACTGCAAATTCAGGATTACGAGCTCATGACAGTGATTCTGAATGTGTTTCAATGCTTCATCTTCTAACTGTATTTAGCAATCAGAGCAGACATAGGAAAAGAAACCAGAAATTAAAAGCACAGCAAAGCAGCCCAAAGAATGTACACATCTTGTAATACTGTGTAAAAGACTACAACAAAACTGGTATTTTTTAACTCATGGAGATTTCAAAACCCCAAAATAAAATTTTATTCCTAAAGGATCACCCAAGCAGTTATGTACCTGTGTGCAACCTCTAAGAAATAGAGCTTTTAGTCCACTACACCCTTTCACCAGTGCTTCAATACCATCCTTCGTAATCTGATCACACCAGGAAAGATTCAAATGTTCCAGATTTCTGCAACCCTCACTGGGAGAATTAAAAAAATACATAGAGTTAAATCCAGCCTTCAAATAGTCATAACAGTGGGAAACCCAAATTAAACACACTGTTAGAAATTAATAATAGCCAGCGGACTGTGCCAGGCCTCCACAGAAAAGTCATGAGAAAAGACCACACACAAACATCACAGTCTCCACCCAAGAAGCGCTAGATACAGGATACAGTCCGTGCCGATACGCAGCGTTAAGGTTCAGCACTGCTTCTTTTTAACTTTATTAAAATGTTGAACGGCTCTTTAAATGCGTTTCTTTAACACAGAACAGTGAATCTTCCTACCTTAAGCCTTTCAAAGAGCTGTTTGTGATGGCTACACAAGATGTCAGATCCAGATGTTTCAGCTTGGAACAGAATCTGCTAAGACTGTAACACGTGCTGCAAAACAGCAGACACACTAAAAATACCTTCAGCTACTTCTTTTTCCAAACTTCCCCACCAAACAAAAAAATCCTCTGGCTTACCTGTCAGTGATTTTTGTGCACCCGTTTAGATTTAAGTGTTCGATGTTCCTACAGTTCTGTGCAAAGGTCCTAGAACAGCAACAAAACGTGGAATGGGATGTCACAAGCTGTAATAGAGCCACTAGAGCGCGCCCTGTCCCCTGCCTCCCTCCCTCTCCGCCAAAAAGCTTCCACAGACACAGAGTTATCACCAAGTCCCTCTCAAACCCATCTGTCTCAGCGGTTGCTTTTTTCCTTCTGCTACTGCGAGTTTCTGTCCCGGGTAACTCCTGAAACCAAGGGTTACCCCTCACTCAAATACCAGGGCAGCAAGGTGTTAATACCTGTCATATATAAGCCAGAACGCACTTGCTTCAAATGCCGTAACTAAAAACACTAGGGGTATAAACAGAAAGGTTTGAATCCCCCATCAGTTAAATATTAAGCTGCTGGGGAGATTTTTCACACGCCTCATTACCGAAGCCTTTGTAGATCTTACGAAGGAGCTCAGTCCCACATCAAAAGAAAAGGGACTATATCCTAAGCGATACAGAACTGGGACCTAAGCCTACTAATGGACAGACCTGTGGGTTGCAAATCAGTTATTTATGATTTTCAAAATTAAAATGCATCTGTGTGCGCTACTACCGGGTACGAACTCTAAGGCAGACTGGAGCTATTACACCCCTAAGAGCCTGTATGTATCATTACGCTAATCGCCCAGAAGAAACACATAAACTGTCTTTTCATCTCTGCAGAGTAATATTTACAGCTGCACTGCGTTTCAGAACACTGTTTTTATGCGCATGTTTCCTCCAACTGCGTGGATTTTATTGGCAGGGATGGAGGAAACACACAAAACCAGTTTTGTCTGGAGGCTTGCCGTGGTTAACAGATCCGACTACACACTCAGCTGGTAACAACTTCCTGGCTCTCCAGCGTGGACGGAAAACAATGGAAAAAAACCCAGCAAGGAATTATACTGGTGAGAGTTTCCACTTGAATTCTCAAAACAGCCATTCCAAAATTCACGTACTGGAGGGAGATTTACAATCGAGACACTCTTCAAATCACTTGGAAAGACGCTACGCTCTGTAGTAACTTCCAGAAGAGGAAACTCTGCTGCTGAGATTCAGGCATCGGGCACGTCCTGGCAGAGCTGCCGCAAATATTCAGTACTTACCTAGCCAACGTCTGCTTTGCTAACTGGCTAATTTTTAAACAAAGGTTGGTGTAGAAGAAGGATAAATAGAGAAATTAATATCACCCACCAAACTAACGGGTCTGGAAACAACTGAACACCAAAAGCCTCAGAGATAAAGTCACTTTCAGAACAAATATCTGAAAATTAATGCCATTTTTCTTACGCTAATGTTCTCAAAGTCTTGAAGCTCACGCATTTATCATTCATGCATTCATTTCAGTATCACCTGCTTGTATTTCAAGGGTGAACCATCTTCTTTCCTGAAGTGTGGTACACACTGCCATCTGCACCAGTGAGTTGTTACAGACGCAGGGATGGAGCATGACTAGTATTGTGTCATCCCTACAGTGTACACCTGCTGCACACTGAACTGCTGTACACTTAGAGTGTCTGTTCACTAGATATATCATTATTTAAAGATGTCCCATCTCCAGCACTCCCCCTCTTCTCACATGCCACTAACACCTGAACTCCCTTTGGATTTTTGGTCCTATTCACAAGCCTCACTGCAGCCCCCTGGCCTTAGTGACCTGAAAAGCACAGCTGGGAGCCTAAACCCACTGGTGCAGATGGAGTTACTGTGGGGGAAACCGCTACCTGCTGTCCTGACTCTTTCTTCCTACACCCTTCTCCTCACCTTCCCTTCTCCTCATGGCAGTTGCTACCTCTCTCAGCCCCTCACCTCCACTTCTGCTATTCCTTCCCTCCTGAGGACACAGGGACCATCTGCATGAACGCTCTGGGAACTGGGAGGAGTTACCTCTGGCCTGGGCTACCGCTTCTTTGACAGCAATTTCCAGTAATCTGGGAGACGGTAATAATTTGCACTTTCCCCTGTGGAAGGAAGACTGCCTAAAGGTGGAAACACACCAGGGAGCAGTTCGGGAGATGTCCTAGAGGGAAGGAAAGCTCTGGGCAAATCTTTCAGTTTGAAGCTAGGATGCTCATTTGGGTTACTAAAGCAATCTATTGCTTAACTAGTTGCTGGAAGAATTTACTCTAGATACAAAAATCAGTGAATCAGACATAAAATTCAGAAAGAGCTAAAGGTCCCAAGACACTAACTTAATGCCCACTGCCTAACAAAAACATTTGTGCTTAGATTTTCCACTTAAGAATGGCCACACCAGGTCAGACTGAATGCCAGTCTGTCCTGTCTCCTGTGACAGCGGAGGAAAGCGTAACTGCAAACACCCATACCCTGAGGCTTCCCCCAAACATCCTCTGAGCCCTAGGGACCCTTCAGCTGGAGGTAGGATCTTTGGGTTTCAGTAACTCTGAGAAATATCCACAGAGAAATCTAGTTAAACAGTTTGCATACAGAAAAAGCTTATATGGAGTCAAACCGCCTTCTGGGAACAAACTGCAGAGTTCAATTTATACCCTGTGTAAAGAAGGGCCGCTATTTAGAGAATCCCGATGTGTTCCTGCTGCCTGCCTGTTCTTATATTAGAGCAAGAGGAGAATCCCAAGCCTTTCCTGATTTTGTAGGCACTCAATCATTCCAGTCTTTTATTATTTCTCCCATTGCTAGGGTCACCTCTTGTCCAGACTAGAAGATAAACGATAAACTGACTGACTACTAATCGTGAAATTAGTATTGTAGGACGCCAGAGTACAGGTCTGTGAACATTTTAACTGCTTGAAAATGGAGAGATATCAACATAATACTAATGAAAGAAAAATGCTGACATTTCTGAAAAGCACAGTTCTCAGTTCATTTCCAGAAAATAACAGTAGCTATTCTTTGGTCTCAAACTGACATCTCATTTGGTCATTATTAAGGTGCTTAGTACTTACTCAAGTATCCCCATTTAGGTCATTAGTACTTAGAAACCCAAACTAAAAATAACTGCTTTGGTCCAGACATCAGAAAATAAGCGATGTGTCAATCTAGAACTTTACTTACTTTAAAGAGGAGTCTCCAACGCCAAGACATCCTCTCAGACTAAGTTGTCTCAGGAACCCACCACATCTTTTTGATATATTTTCCACAACACGACCCTTAAACCAAATAAAAGGAAGATTTATGTTGAGTTTTATTCTGACAATACATTCTAACCAAATCAAAAATGCTGGGAGTGAAGACCAGCCCCAGCTATACCCCATCAGAACTACACCTCTTTGAATTTCTTTTGCCACTTCAAGGAAAAGAAGTTACCTGTTGAGAATCTTCACTCACACTGAAGCACTATTCAATTCAACCTTGAGTTTCTTCTTCCTTTTTTTCAGTCTATCACACAGTCGCTCAATTTTTTGACTCGGCAAAACCTACCCATTAAGACTGCCAGAATAATCTTCAGATGCATAGGGAACCTGAAGAACTGCCCCAGAGGTGGGATGGCCCGTTCCTCAGGGATCACAGTTACTGCTAGACCACCTAAGTTTAAACTGTCCACGGGGATGTGCTTTGGCTAGTGTGTCACTCTCAACTACAGCCCCCGGCGAGTCCCGCTTTACAGTCCCCGCTACAGGGACGGTTGCCTCTGCAACAAAAAGGGTGCTGAACACCTCGGTGGGAGCAGCCCCTTGAGTTGTCTCCAGAAGATTTTCCGGAGCCCACCTGCCAGTCTTCAGTGTCATATTTAGGTGTCTGTGCCTAACACTTGGGAATGCCAAAGAACGTCTCCCGCTGTGAAGCCTACAGACTTCAAGCCTTGTTCTTTGTCAAAAACTGAAGCGCAGCTTACAAACAAAACTTCCTACTTGATCCCACATTTGCTACAAAATGCATTTTATTTACACCCTGAAAGCGCATTTTGCTATACATTAGGATCAAGCAGAACGGTACAGTATTGCCGTATTATATAGGATCAAGCAGAACGGCACAGTGTTAGAAAAATCTGACAGCAGCTTTATGGAAAAATGTTATTTAAACTACAATTAAAATGTACTTTGGGTTTTGAAACTTGTTTTTGGTAGGGAAAACAAGTTAAGATAGCAAAAAGCATGTGGACACTTTACAAACTGACTAGACATCCCACTGTGTCTAATTTTAGGGAGGTGAGGTAAAAGAAATGAACACTGATCATTCAATAAACAGGACTAATACCTAACAGCACCTTTTAGTTTAGTCTCTCTTTTTATTAAAGAATACGTACAAAATGACAGGTCAGTGGATTGTTTTGTTTTGTTTTCCTCCCTATGCAGGATGGTGTCAACTTTACTGAAACAGTCAAACACTTACATTTTGTTGCCCACCTCTCACAGCAAAGTCCTGGCTAGCACTACGTGAAAGCATTTTATCCGATCTTGGTTCTTAGTCCACCCGTAACACTGTTTATCTCACCTCTCAGAACAGTTTACACCAATGCACGCAAATTGAAAATCCTTACACAAACAAAATGATGTGGTTTTTTAAAGCTTTCTGATTAGTCAGAATTACTTCTCAGCAGAGGCCAAATATCTGTACTGTAAGGATAAAGTCTTCAATGCGTAACATACAATGCAAGTTCAATCTACGCTGCAGAAAAATGCCAAACCCTAAGTATTATTCGAAGAAAAAAACCCGAATAATGAGATATGTTTTCCCAAACGCAATGCAATTTCAATCTACGCTGCAGAAAAACGTCAAACCCTAAGTATTATTCAAAGAAAAAACCCGAAGAAAAAAACCTGAATAATGAGATATGTTTTCCCAAACCCATTTATTTATTTCAGCATGTAAAACCCACAAGAAACAGCATATTCAAAGTGCATTCAAATGTGTTTAGCTGATTGAATAATGCAGTGTCACTCAAAAAATAGCTCTTCAAATTACCCCAGCTTACATTTGATTCCACATAGCAAGAAAGACACATTTAACCTCAAGATTTTCACACATCTTTGTGGTAGAAAAGAAACATTTGTTCTTCATAGTTTTTTTTTTTTTTTCCTTCCTCACTTCATTCTTTACCACGAGGGTCTTCAATAAGGAAAATTTCATAACAAAACCTAATTTTTCATTATTTGACAGTCCCAGATCAAGTACTGCTCGCTGTTATGTGAAACATCACCAGCAGTACAACATCCAACTGACCAAAAAGTTGCCAAATACAATTATCAACTTTTACTTGTCCTAAATCTACAGACAAAAAAAAAAAAAAGGTTACTGAAACAGCTGAAGAAAAGACAGAGTTCTTAGACACCAAATGTGAAAGTGTACCTTGTTCAAAACTACTTTATGCAATAATTGCTGGTTAAACATAATTTTACGAATATATTTAAGGGGTTTATATTACAAATGTACTTAAATATAATATATTGAAGTAACTGACTTGCTCCAAACCACAATAGCTTCTTATAGCAACAGAGGACCGTAACTTAATTTCAACCCTGCTCCTGAACCCCATACTACAAATGTAGCACCTCAAAGGGCAACACCACTAGGCACAATGTAAACAGACGTATCGAAGACATAAAAATCCAATACTGTGTTTCTAAAGATCAGAAAGATTTCAGGCATGGAAAAGGCTAACCAACAGAAGGACCACAGACCTGTGGGGGTCTCTTTAGTATTTCTTAGCAAATAAGAAGCACGAGCTTTTTTAAAGGCAACTGAAAAGATGACATTAAAGCTCCAAGTCTTTTTAGACACATTTAGATAGATGCGGATGCCAGACACTTTCTCGTACCTCTAAGATCCTCATGTTTGACATCAATATGGCAGAGGAGTTGGCAAAACAATTTTAAAAGAGCAGCGAAAAAAGTTTACCCTATATATTACTGTAAGGCTTTTAGAACAGTTTGAACCACAGTTAGCAAAACATAACAAATGAATCCCATCTGGATTTTATTCATGCACCTAAGAAGCTAAAACATGAAATCCAGAAGCAAATTCATTATTGTATTCTAAATGTAATTTGTATCATCAAACAACAAATAATAAACCAGATCAGATTCAATTAAGGAATTCTATTTCCCCATGGATTTTTGTCTTCATTTTCAGATGTCGTATTTTATTTTGTTATGCACATCTATGATATCACTAATGCAGGCATGTTTTTCTTACAGAAGACAAGACTGCCCTGTCTTTTCATCACCTGCTGAAAGGGACTTTAATCCACATGTACCTGCATTTCAGGCAAGGTTCAAAACTTATAAAACAAACGTTCAGAAAATGGCTACCAGACACACACCAAACCGAATCTAGGCAAGGCAGCGGTAAGAAAAGCTGTTCAGCGTTTTCTTGTTTCAACTTCCAAGTCCTATAGCCAAATGTCCAGAGGGCCTACAGCACTAGATGGCCCCCTCACAGAGAGAGCCGGGACCATCAATAACATTATCCTCTAGACCCTGAAAGTGATTCGGAGGACCTTACTCCACCCAGAGGAACCGTTTATACCTTTACTTTCTGGAAGCGAGCAGCTTTAATTTCCTAACCACTGTATGTATATGATATATGCAACTCGTCTGATACATAGGTGGCAATCAAAACTGAACTACTCATCCAGTATAAAAGAAGTCAGAGGTCCTTTTCCATTTGCTCCTTCACAAATTATTATTACCTTGAACTTTAGCCTTTAAACCGTGTGAATGCAAGCACAGCCTATGGGATACTCAAAATGGGCTATGCTCTTAAACATCACTATAGGAATGAAAAAAGACCAAAACCACTAACCTCTATATCCGTTTGAAAATTAAAGAGGTCTATTCTTTGCCAATTGCTTCCGTCCAGAGCTAAAACATTCCATGCCTACAGAAAACAAATACAGCTTTATTTATTACCTCCACTGCCTGCTCCCTTCATTTGCCTCTCAGCAATTCAAACATAACAAGCTCAAATGCAGCAAAACATACCATTTCAGGTAGAATTTTTAAAAAGGAAGTACGATTGTAGGTATCAGTAGTCATACAATATCAACTAGTTAAAAACACAAAAGTTGTGGAAATGAATGTGAGATCTCCTAAATGGATTACACTTCAAAGGCTGACTTAAGCCCATAAAACATGCAGGGAAGTAAGAAATTAAATGTAAAGCATGTACATGGACACAAGATTTATCCCTCCATTTTTAAAAATGCCTTTGTAAATTTGTCTCGTGACAATCTAGATCTACATGGAGAAAAGTAACTGCAGATGAGATTCCTTCCAATAAAACCACAGTTGCTCAACCTCACTAGTTACTATTCTGAGAAGAACAGAAGTCTGTCAGAAAACCGCTGACTTTCCACTGTTAGGATCAGGCCTTTCCTTTACACGTGTGAAGTTACATGTACGTGTCTGAGAATTTCTCCTTCACAGTCGAAGCAACAGTTGTTCAAAGTAAAAGAAAAGAAAAAAGCCAGAGAAACACAGATACGCTCAGAAAAAAAGGATACTGCATCCAACTGACAGGTAGTTCTGAGAGAAAAAACATAACTTATTAAATCACCTTGGGTTTCTTCTGCTACATTCTAGGTTTTTGCTGAAGATTCTAAGAATAGCTGATATTAGCTCACAAAACTTACTGAAGTTGCAGACCAGGGTGACAAGGGTGTAGGAATGAAATTGTTACATGCTTAATTATACATTAAATAAATCAATCAAAGAATCCAACAACACCCACCGCCCTGCCCCCACCCCCCCCAATACTCATTAAAAGAAGGAAGAAAAGCATGAAATAAAAATGTTCGTGCATTTGTGTAAGAATACACTCCACTGTACACACTTGATGTAGGAACAGAGTATTCTTCACTTTGATGCAAGGAAAAAAAAAATCAAGGCAAGCTAAACATAAGAGCTTACTGAGCATGCTTTCTCTATTATCTTGTGTGCCTTTTTCCCCTGCTAGCAGTCCATCTACTTAACACCTTTTGTACTTGGCAAGCAAACGATGGATGTACTACTTAGACACATGGTGCACATTAACCGAACGACATGGAATTTTAAGCAGAAAAAGAGTCTGAAAAATAGTGTTATACAGCCACATGTTTTATAAAAAGCAAGTGCCATTATGCCAAAGCAGGCTTAATCCTTTCTCCAGATACAGAGCATACACTACTGTGTATCTTTTCCATAGCCTTTAAACAGAAGTCTAGTACATAGCAACTGATTCCACATCTGAATGCAAAACTGGACTCGCTGTTTATTTATTTTAACAAAGAGGCTGAGAGAACTACCTGATTTTTTTTTTTTTTTTTTTGACAGGCAGCAGATTGCCCTAAAGGCCATGATTTGCCAAGTAATTAAGAAAATAACTTCCCAAAGAACAACAAAAAACCCCAACAGGTACACTTACCTTGGACACTTGTGCACATCGACACAAAGTAACTATGTCCAAGAAGGAAAATATTCTAGGAAGAAAGGAAAAGAATAACAATTAAAATGTTTTATTATAAATTCAGACTAACAAATGTATTCACAGTTCTGTGTTTCTATGGAAAACCAGAAGGTAACACAAGAAGCAAGTTAAATGCAACGTGAGTATTTTACCCAACTACTCTACTTACTGAAACTTAAGGAATAACATCATAGCGATCATCTAAGGACAGGCACCACCACCACACTACGACCAGCAGGTGCTGCTTCTGAAAAATCTATTTTCTGTTTCTCCCTCCTTACTACCCAAACATGTACGAGTAACATCATCTTTTTAATGTTGAGAAACTAGCTTATATACCTTCAATTGTGCTACAATTAAAGAAATAACTTACACAAGTACAGGTGAAGATTTTAGAGGCTGGTTAGAATAAGAGATGGGAAAACAACACACAGATAAATCCAGGTTCAAGAATCTAAATACTAACACACAGAATGATGACCCAAATTTTTAAAGGGGTTTTCACAGTGATTACCAAGTCTAGCACTCAGTATCTTATTTTAACTTACTCTACAAGAAACAACTACAATTCAGAATTTAGCGTTGCTATTCTGATTATGGAACCAATTCCTCAAGGCTGCCAACTCCGCTCAAATAAATTTTTCACTGTCAAAATGAATTTTGCTAAATACCATTTCCAAACAACCATGAACCTGGTTCAAAGACTGTTCTCAGCGCAAAAAAAAAAAAAATAATAAAAAAAAAATTCATTAGCTTAAGCATAAAATATGGATCCTATTCCAAAATCAATTTCTATTACAGAGAATGAAAGATATGAAATATATGAAAGATGTTACTGTAATTCACTGTAACCTGCTCGCCAATGATCCTTTCCAGTCATCAAAACAATGAACAGTAATATTAACAATTTCACCTTATAGTAAGAAGTTAACACGGAGGAGCAAACACGAGTTCTAATAGAGCCTGAATTTAATCAGGCTGATTACTATTTTCCAAGTGGTAACCTGAAAATAGAGCTTGAAATGGATGTCTGCATCTTCAGGGCTGTGATTTTTAGCTGTGGTAAGAGTTTTAAAATGCAATGGAATTTAATGGAAATACGTAACAGCCTTCTGGATGTTTATTATGATCACTTCAGATATTAGTTTCCCAATATTTCATTAACACATGACAACACTTGCTCTTTTTCCCCATAACATTTTCTCAAAGAACTTTTGGCCCTGCAAACAGAAGGACAGAGATTCTCAGAAGCGACGAAACAATTTACAGAACCCTGTTGCTAACATTTACTTTGATAGCATCTATGCTGTCATTTGAACATCCATCCTGAGGTGTGACCACTTTAGGAGACTCGGCAGCATTTCATACACTTCATGTTCTCAGCAAGATTGCAGGACTGTTCAGATGAGCACTGAAAGCATCACCTCTCTCTCAAGAGCAGCGCTTATACCAATGCCCCACCATGAACCCTCTTCTGAAGCCACCTTTCCCCCCGCCATGAGGCAAAGTACCTTCCTCACCGTATCACTGTCTGAGTGGAATCAGAGGGTTATCTTACGATGTACAGAAGCTGAAGCACAAAAGACAGATCCCTACAGTATGCGTAACTAAGAAAGGAAGGGCTGTGCCAACCATTTCATGACACAATACTCTTGCCAAAATGAAGAATGTGACAGGCTTTAGAAGTGATGTATCAAGTTCTACCGAAGCAAGAAATAACAGAAGGTATGGTAAGATGTTGAAGGAAGGGTATTTTATACACCCCCACTGCTCTGAGTTGTCTGGCAGTCTGTCTTCATGTCCCACTGTTTATTGCTGTTAAGGGATTAGTGTTGATGCGTGATTTCTGTGAAAAAAAAAATTAAAACCAAATGCAGAACAGATGTATTTATTTTTGCTCCATTCTGCATGCAGTGACTTTTTAAGAAGTCCAAAACTAGAAGTATTCATTCTGTGTTAAAAGGAGAATATTTTAGTAAATGTAAACATTCATCATGCTTTTAGTTTTTTTGTTCTAAAGAAGAAACTTTCTTGCAAGGCGGCCCAAGATGTCCCCATCAAAGCAGACAACATTAGCATGCATTTAAGCCAGCTAAATCAGAATGATTATGATTCAATTGAATAATGCAATAGGCAGGAGATACCAATAAATTCTTTTACAATTCCTAAGAGCCACTTTGCCAATTTGCTTGAAAACATTTTTTCCATTTTCTATTTATTTACCCCCTATAGTACTGTCTTCCATGCAAACCATTAAATCACATTGCCTTGCAGTCCTGCAGAACTACTAGCAAATACTTGCCAGCAGGGAAACTAGCCAACAAGACAAAAGACTCTAAGGTTTAAAGTCATTCAAAATCTTCAAAAGACTTTAAACACAAACAACAGAGATGGAGGTGGCAACACTGACGCTGCCTGTCACCTGTCAGTGTCAGACACTGAAAATGTCTGACACCCAGGGTGAAGGCCTATGTCAGCAAGCACTTGTAATTTTAAAACGTGGAAAAAACTACCAAGTAGGGCAGCTGATGGTTGCATAGCACTTCTGTCCTCTATGACCAGAGCTATGTAGATGGAAGCTAATGCAGCCAGCAGCAGGATTAATTTCCACTTAAGTCTCTGGCATGGATTAGTACAGGGAAACTGGAAATTAATAGATCCACAGTAAAGTTTAGGATCATCTATTTTGATTTCCTGTATTCCAAGCTATTAACATTTTCCATATTCATCCTATATCGAGCTCAAGAAGGAGAATCTGCTTACTAACAAGCGGAGCTCTTCGAGACAAGCTCTTCAGCCCTAGGCACATACCACTCTGGACACATGCCTCTTGGGGCTGGCCATGGAGATCTTTCAGCATTAACAGTACCTGCAGCACACACGAGCCTCACGCCAAAGGCACAAGGGGTTGTACAAGCCCACAGTTCCTCAAGTCCGTCATGGTAAACTCATATTTGGCTAAAGCTTAACCTCCAGAAAAGGATTTATTCTTGATTTTGAAAGCCTTCAAAAGATGGAAAATCACCACCACCTCTGGTAGTTTGTTCCACTGGTTAAACACTCTGTTAAAACGTTTGCCTTATTTCCAAGGTGCATGTCTGAATTCCAGCTTTATGCTTTTTTCTACTTTTCTTCACCAAATTAAAGAGTGCTTTAACAGTTAGTACTTTCTCCTCATTGAGTTTTAACACCACTTATCATGTCATATTTAATTCTTCTTTCTAACAATCTTATTAGCTTAGTTCTTTAAATCTCATCTCCTCTGCACATTCTTCATTTTCCCAGCATGTTTCTTCACATGCTGACATCAGAAGCATGTGCCGCATTAAAAACTTCAGTAGTATCAACAAAGTTGTACACAAAGTATGATTCCACTCCTCCCATTTTCAGAGCCATTTCATGCCACTTTAACAGCCTTTTTGACAAAGCATCAGAAAAGAAAATTACAGTTATCTTACCCATTTCACCCTCACATCCTCTTCTGGGACCACACACTCCAAGATTGACCTCTTTCTGTAACACTCCCTAGTCCTGTATATCTATCCATGTAAAATTCATCGGTAAAAATGCTCTTGTTTGAACACACCCCATTTATCATGCTATTTGGACTTCCTTGGGAGAATGCCTTGTCTTCACAGTAGTTTACCATTACAGTTCTTTTTGTGTTAATTGTAGCTTGTATCTTCAGTGAATTCTGAAGCAGTGATTTCCAAAACGTTGAACGAAAAAAGAAATTAAAAACAATCGGGTCTACCTGCCGATTGCTGCAGCACTGTTAACCAATCCTTAATCCCTTTAACACGCACTGATACACTGTGCCGTGCTACTTTTTAAATGGAAGGTAAAATCTTAAAGTCAACTGCCCGAGTAGATATACGTCATTTTGGTTGGTGAAGCAAAGCAATTTTTTGAGTATCTCATGAATAATATTGTCCAATCACTTTCCACAAAACCACAACAGTTGCCACTTACATTCTTTTCTCTCAAACAAAACTAGAATGAGGTTTTTTCCCACAACCTACTGAATATGAGGCTGAGATTTCAGGTCATCTCTCCCTTGCTTAGATAAAAATTGTTTCAGTCAGAATTCATATTCTTCTAGTCTTCTGGAATTTTCTTGATACCCAAGACTCACCATAACTCAGCGTAAGAGGGCCACAGACCTCATAAGTCAACTTTTTACAGGATTTTCACTGCAGTTCATACGGTCCCACCAGCTAGTGGGACTACAGCCTCAATCATCTTTCCATGTACTTCCACACATACTTCATTATTCCCAAGTGCTATACAGACTGTCCTGTGTCTTTCCAAACACAGAAACGGCTGATGTCACTCCTACTATTTTGTTTCCCTCCCTGCAGGGCTATTTCTCAAAACCCCAGTTTTGTGCTGTGCAGTGTACCACCTACAGAGTGAGAGTTCAAGCTCCGCAAGAGTCAAACTGCTGCTCTCTCGCCACTGTAAGGCCCTTCCCAATCCAATCACAGAAGGAATAAATAAGCTTTTGCAGTAACAGACTGGCAATTACTCATTTTAAGTATTTTGCACACAATACTATATGGATTGATAAAAAGTGGATATCGAAATGCATACAGTAAGTACCACATGCACATACTGTGACTTCCTGGAATTTTTGGCCCAAATGCCAGAATTTGGTATCTTTCCAGTATGACAGAAATGCCCGGTAATTTCTAAAAAGCTTCAGCAATAACATGTTAGTGTTTTTTGTTGGGGTTTTTTTTTGTTTGTTTGTTTTTTAATAACTGACTTGAGAATGGAATTCTATTTCAGAATTTCTATTTTTCACGTCTTTTAAATTTACAATGGTTTTGCACACACAGAGTGGCGACAAACAGTATCAGAATGAAAATCAAAATGGTAAGAATGAGACATGCCTGACTGAAAACAGCACATCATCTAGATAATCTGCTTGGAAGATCCTTTAAACTTTACCACACCATCTAGTTCTTATGAAGCAAGCATATGACAAATTTGTCACGTCCTCCCCGTTTT